CAGAGACTGTTCAGGAGAATGTTAAACCAGCCCAGTCCTCAGAGGAGACCACTGTAACAGTTGAAACTATTGTAGAAACTGTGGAAGAGGTCAAAACCGAGACTGCTGCAGCTCCAGTCGAAACAATCAGTGAAACTGTTGAAGCTGCTATTGAGGCATCCGAACCAGTACCAGAACAGACACCTTTGGCACCATTTGAAGATATACCAGAACCTGTGGAAGTCCAAGAGGAGTCTGTTAAGACCACTGTAACAGCTGAAACTATTGTAGAAGAAGTGCAAGAGGTGAAACCATCAGCAATTGAAACTATTGAGGCTGCTGAGCCAGAAACTAAGCCAACGCCCCTGGCCCCATTCGCACCTAATGCGGATCCCACTCAATCACCATCCGAAACCGATCCTTTCATTTGTGAAACTTCATACTGGTCTGCAACACTGAAACCCGGACAAAAGCCAATAACCACAACGACAAAAACCACGACTGAAACGACAGAAACGAAGAAGACTGATGTTAAGGAAACTACTAAACCCATAAGCGTTAGCATACCAACTGAAGAAGATGTCCTGGAGGAAGTGGCAGTACAATCACCGACTGATCAACCCACAACCTGGTCAGCGATTGTTCAAACCGAGACGACTGTCTTCCCAGCACCGGAAAACCAACAAAAAGATGAGGAAGCAAAGTCGCCAGCTGCTTGGTCCACTGTTGTGGTGAGCAAAACCACAGATTTCCAGGAGCCCAAGTCCCAAATCGATGTGAATGAGACAGAAAATGTGACCACAACGACAACCACCTATGTGACAACGACAGTGACCACGCATAAGGATACACCAATTGTAGAGGATATTCAGAAGGATGAACCGGAAACAACCTCATATGTATCAACGGTGGTAACCACCCATACAAATGAGTTGAGTATCGAACCCAAATCGATTGTAATTGAAACCAAAACAATAGAACTTGAACCCGAAAATAATTTGGAAATACTCAGCGAGAATCTGTATCGCGATGGAACCAAATTGCATCCGCGTTATGACATATTGGAGGGACAATACTACCGGCAGTTTCAGGTGGAAAGCATTCCTGTGGAGCCAACAATTGTCGAAATTGTAGAGCCCCAACCACAATCTGTTAGTAAACCAGCAACAGCAGCCACCCCAGTGATTGAGTCTGAAACACTTGATCTGATTGAACCTGTCAAACAACCCCAAAACAATTTGGAAATACTCACTGAACACTTGTATCGCGAAGCAATCAAATTGCATCCCAAATACGAGATATTGGAGGGACAATATCAAGTGTTGCAAGTCGAAAGCATTCCACAGAAACCAACTTTAGTTGAAGAGAAAATTATTGCCAAGGAAGAGGATATATTGATAGATGATTATGTGATAATTGAACCCGAAACAATACCCCAAATCAATTCTGAAATACTTGCTTTGAATTTAAAACTTGATCAGGAAAATCTATTGTCGCAAGCCCCCAAAGCCCTCGATTCCATTAGCCAGTTGCATTTGCTTACAGTTGAAAAACCATCCGTAGAAATAGTTGAGGAAACAAAAGCAATAGAAATAGAACCCCCCATTGTAGAAATTTCTGAGGAGACAACATCAGTAGAAGAACCCCAGACCACTCAGACATTGACCAGCAGCAGAAGTCCCAGCGATCTTCTGTGGCATCTTAGCCAGGATAATTTCGTTAAACTAATCCAAAACCGTAAACTACTACCGGCAGAAGACGCTTTCGCGTTAATGTTGCCTAAGACCTCCACAGACACGACCACGACCACGACGGATAAAGCTCAGGAAACAACTCAAGACGATAAACATAAGACTGACATCATTACAGAAACTGTAGTGACAAGCACGACCACGATTACAGAATCAAGCGAATTGATGGCTGATCATGTTGTAGATAAGACTGAAGAACCAGAAACATCATCGTCATTACCAATCATTCCTACCACCGCCACGGAACAGCCAGCAGCATCAACACCATCACCACCACCACCCAACAGTGGCAATCTAGACCAGTTGCGGCTGAATCTGTATCTGGACGATTGGCAATCAGCTGGCGTCGGTGCAGATTTAGTCGAGGATCGGTTTGAGAGATTGAAACGTGCTGATGTTGCCAGCCCCGAGGCGGAACTCGACAAAGACAAGAAACCCGATGATGATGTGACTGACAAAACGGACAAAAAGAAGGACAATGATGACGATGACGACAATGACGACGATGATGACGATAACGATGACGGGGATAAACCGACTGTGCCTGAAATACGCAAGCCGAACGACGACGATGATAAATCGAACGATAGACGAGATCCTGGTAGCGGCGGTAGTAGTGGTAATATAACTCCAACACCCGAACACGATCAGTACGAACAGAATAATCGCAGCTGCTCATCAGATTTTATGTCGACCGATTTGCCAGGTGGTGTAGGTCATTGGCGGGATCAAAGTACTTATTTGGCTTTAGAAGCCGATCAGAAAAAGCCTCAGGTAAAATTAGGAGTTGATGTTGATGTTGCTGTTGAAGAATCAGCACCAATCCAAGAGGAAGGTGTATTTGTACTAACCGAAACTAAAACCATTGACCCCACAAGTTCAACCAAACCAGTCCCAGTCCCTGACCCTGACACTGAAACAAGCCCCAGCAGTCCCAGTCCCCACATAGCTACTGCAAACGCACTAATCCAATTGGCAAGCGCCACAACTCACACGCTGTCCGCCAAGGCGAATGCGGCAGCCGCAGCGGCACAGGCAACAGCATTGGTGGCAACCAGTGCTCTACTGCCTGTAGCCAAGGCCGTAATCAATAAGCTTACGACAACAACAACAACCACACCAGAGGAGCCAACACCAGTAGCAGCAGCAGCAGCAGCAGCACAACAACTCCAGAAGGAGGTGCCAGAGGAAACAGCAATAATAGTTGCTGTTGAGGCGCCTGCAGAGGTTGCAACCGAAACAGCCACAGCCACAACGAGCAGCAAGGATTCGGATGATCCGAATGTCCTTAAGCGTACCACAACGACAACCACAACCGTAACGACAACGACAACAACAACCGTTGAAACACCATCGACAACAAGCGGCAGCAGCAACAGCAGCACGACAACGACAACAACAACAACCAACAACACCAGCAACGATCCACAACAACAACAGCAACACAGCCAGAAGGTGAACATCACATTGAGCCTTCGTTTATTCATAATTCTAATATTTGCAGCTTTTCTATGTGGTTTCGGTATTTGTTCATGGCTTTTATATGGCAATCGCTGCTGTTGCTGTTGTGGCAGCAACCAGAACCACACATGCATCATCCACACTGACCCATAATAGTATGTTTCCCATGTGTGTGATGGTTCTGGGTTACTGCCACTACTATGCCAATAAAATGCAATTTCCAAACAAAGTACTAACGTAAATTTAATTAAAGAAAAAATGTTTTTTCCTTTTTTATGTTTTTAAAGTTTTTTTATTTCTTTCATTTTTTTTTTTTTGTTTTTCTTTTTGTATTGTATGTGTTGTTGTTGTGCTAAATATGCATCCAAAAGCCTTATTTTTTGAGTTTATATACCATAGTAGTAAAAAGTAATTGTAGTTATTAAAAAACAGGCACAAATAACCCGTAATTTATAGAATTGAATTGCATTCGTTAAGTTCCTTTTACTAATTTGATATTAACCTATTGTAAAACGCCCAGTAATCAGTGACTACTAATGGTAGTAATTATGAAATAAAATCTATATTAACCAACATGCACGTTTTAATATTGAGCTGATGAGATCTCTATGATCTCTATGCGTATATACTCGTACTACCGTATGTAGTTTTCTTCGCAGATATTTCTTCAAAACACATGAACACACAGACACGCACACATCGATCATGCACCGAGCACACACACTTCTATCTCCTCACTCAGCACCACTCCCCACAGTGGCACACAAAAGTGCGTGCACGCACAATATAGTATTTCCAATGCAGAATATATCTATCTATATATACTACGAGTTCATTGCCTTGCTTATCGCCCTGCCGCCTGTCTGTCCCACGTTCAACATATCAAGAATTTGCAATGCAAGCGTTCCGTTTATGCTATAAATATATCCATCTACCGATCCCATACGGTCCATGCGGTGCGGTGCTGAGCCCAGCAGCCCCCAGCTCCGTTTTAGTTTGCTCAAAAATAGCCTTCCTTTGCCGTTTATTTTACAAGTTTTAGTCTCTACCGTGTATCCAATGTGCAATGAACGGCGCTGCGAAAATCGCAAAATACTTTGTATATTTCAAGAATTCCCACAAAAATGTTTGATACTAGTGCAAAAGTGTGTGTAGTTCATTCAGAATAGAACAGAAACAGAACGTTAACCAAAGTCAATAGAACATATCAATAAATAAAAGTGTGCGAAAGAGTATAAATCTATACTTTAATTTTATTCTATAGAAATCTAGAAAAAAGCGAATGTAAGTTTAATTTCCATTTTTGCATATCATTTTCCTTTCCGACTTTAATTGAAGATATAAGAAATAAGGCTTTTTTATGGTACTTGTGTCTATACGCCTTTTCTCACATCAAATTCTATGCCGCCTAGGAAAACATAAATACTATATATATATACCATATACAACTAAGATAATTATTTATGCCAAAAATGCATGTGTTACGAAGCCTAAGTCTAGCGCCTAAATAGAGTTACTATTTTTAAAGAGCATTTCCCCGAATCCAATACCATTTTGTTCGTATGGCTGTATGCATTGCATCCATTTTGAATTTTACTTTAATATACATATATTTTATTGTCTGTAAATATGTTGTATGTGTATAGAAGCCGGCAACAAATATATTTACAGCAAATGAAACAAAACAAAAAACCATTCCTTAGCAAAGAATTATGTTCAAATTTATTGCCATGTTTATTAATAAAATAACACACACTTTCTACCCCGCACAACCCAACCAAATTTGCGACACAATTTCGAATATTATAGGAGACATTTGACCAAGAACTCGATGAACTGCTACAATCGCTGTCCAGCGTCGAGGATGGCATCGCAAACATGAACCAGAGCAGCCTGGAGGGCATGCTACAGGGACTAAAGGTAATATAACGCGAGATCTCCAGATCTCCGGGCATTTAACAAACACTTTTTTGGAATGCTTGACAACAAGGCATGTTCGACAATAAGTAACAGTAGCTAGAGTTTTCCCCCATAAGTACTCACATAACCTGTACCTGTACATAACTTTTTGTAAACGATTTTTGGATGCTGGCGTGTGTCATATGACGATGATTTTTAATAACACATTTGCGCATCATTCCATACAGAATCGTACAATTTTGTTTAGAACAGAAGGAAATGTGTCTGTCAGAGGAATATACCTTTAGTGTTGTCCAGTTTTCTTTTTGTAGAAGTCGAACCTTTTTGATTGTTCTGTAGGTTTATATATGTAGTACACAGTTTCAAGAATATTCTCTACTATATTTCTGACCAAACAAATGAATCTGAAATAATTATTCTCAATCACTTGATGCATGTATAGCTAATCCAAAGGAATCTGGAAGTACACGAAAGGAACGCCCACCAACTGAAAGAGCAGGCTAAGAATTTGCCCACGGATCCTGGCACTGAACGCATACTGAACGAAACCGTAGATCGTATTGACTTGCTACTGCGTCGTACCCAACAAGGCATCAGCATGTTAGCCGTAAGTATACCCCCCCACGCCGTTACTGTCGTCTCCATTGATTAATCGGATGTATTTCAGAATGCTATGCATGGGCAGAAGAAGCGGCAGGAGGACATTGATCAGTACCAGCAGCATTTGCTGGAGCTAGAGCGATGGATCAACGAGGTGTCCGCCGAGCTGGCATCGTTTGAGACCACACCGGACAGCAGCACCGATGAGCAGGTGCTCAAGTCGCAGGTGGAACGCAGCCAGCAATTGTTGCGCACCCTCAAGGAACGCCAGCAGTCCATGGACGATCTGTTGGAACAGACGCGACAGCTGCAATCGCAGCCCGATGTGGCCCCCCTGGCCAACACACTGATGGAGCAGCTGCAGAGCATTATAATCATTCTGCGCGAACAGATCACAGTGGCAACCACACGGATTTTCACCATCGAGAAGCGCATTGTGGATCTGCGCAAGGCCAAGAGCGATGAGGCCCAGCGACAGCGAGTGCAGGCCGATGCCATGATACAGCCCCCGACCCAGATTGAGGCACATGAATCGATAGAGTCCAATGAGAACACAATTGATTCGACCTCAATGCCCGAAGAGGAGGTTAAGCCACCCAGTGGTGGGGTATATGTGGAGACGCAAACATCGCTGAGCTTGCAGCAGCAGCAGCAGCCGCAGCCGCCGGCACCTATTCAGGTGGCAACCAGCACTGTGGAGGCGCAGACCAGCTTCAAGGAGGAGCCCTTGGCGGTGGTGGAAACCGCTGAGGTGGCCCAGCAAACGCAAAAGGAGCGCACACCCACCGAGAACATAGTGGTGACGCAAACGATTCAGGATGGCCAGGCGACCATACAGATTGACACGACCCTGAATAAGGATATACCCGACAGTCCCGAAGATGTGCAGATTGAGGCGCGCTACCATCAGCGACCCCAGGGCGATGTGGAACGTGCCACCGAGCTGATCCTGAAGAATGTGCCACAGGCATTTGAGACGACATTTGTGGAGCCAGACGAGACCACCACCGAGGTGATTGTGGGACCCGATGGCACCAAGCATATTGTCCTGAAAAAGGTCACGCGTACGCGCCAGCAGATCGTGCAGCAGCAACAGATCAGCTCCATTGAGACTGTAAGCGACTCGGATGGCAACATTGAGGTGCATTCGACGGGCCAGATCAATCTGGAGAATGTGCAGACGACAGACACCAGTGCGGATCCACAGGAGGGCAGCTATCGCACCGTTGTTACACAGCAAACGCGTGGCGCCCTTGTAGATGCCACCCAGCCAGAGGCGGTGACCGTTCAGGAGTTTGAAACGGAGCCAACGATTGAGACGTACGAGGAGATTGTGGGAGAACAACCGGGTGCAGATGCACACTTGATTGGCGGCGGCAGTACCAGCACCATTCGGGCTGTTGTGCAGCAGGTGACCCGCAAGGTGATCCGCAAGACGCGCAAGATAATCAAGCGTGTGGTTATCATCGATGGGAAGGAGCACATAACCGAGGAGGTGATTGAGGAGCCCGAAGAGGTTGAGATTACCGAAGAGGAGACGGCGCCGCATATCAATGTGAATATTGTGCGCACAATCAATGGGAAAATGGTCACCGAGGAGGAGTTCCAACGGATGATGCAAGAGCCGGGCGTGACCATTGAAGAAGTTGCTGCAGAATCGCCGCAACAGGTATTTGATATTGAGTCTACCCACGTCACCTCCACCACAGAAACAATAATCACACCACAAGAACAAGAACAAGAGCAAGTACAGGTACAGATACAGATACAGCAAGAATCAGAACAGATACAACAGCCAGAACAACAGACACCACCAACAGAAACAAAGATCAAAGAACCAGCACCAGTAGAGTTGCCACCAGCACCCTCTCAAGTAGATGTTGCAGAACCAGTAGATGTTGCCACTACTACTCCCACTACTACATCCATCAGTATCGTTAATGTTGCAGCAACAGATGTAATAACTACAACAGAAACAGCAGCAGCCAATCCAGTAGATATCGTCGATGTAACCACAGGAATCACTACCGAACCCGTGGTGGAAGATATCCATGAAATTTGGCCACTGGAACATCATTTGAATGCCACCAACATTGACTTTTCACAACACGATGAGGAACTAGCACCAGCAGCAATAATCACAACAGAATTTAGAGAAGAAGAATCCATGCCTGTGGAAACCATTTGGCCCACAAGCCCGGAGACGGGCAACTCTCTAACACTGGAGAACTATGAATTTGAGCCACAATCACCCACAGAAAAGATAGAACTTGAGACTGAGACAAAGCCTGAAACAGAACCAGAGACTAAACCAGAAACAAAGGCAGAGACAGCGACAGTGCCAGAGCCCTTGACTACTGGCAGCATTGAAATAACTAAGACCATCACCACAGTGACCAGCATTGGGGGGGAGCAGCCCAAGGAAGCTCTGTCTGAATCGCAGACAGCAGTTCCAAAGATAAAGACTGATATTGAGAGTTTCCTGGATGCCGAAAAGACGCTGGCAGGAGCCTTGAAGGAACACCAAACTGTACCTGCCACCATTCAGGTGGTTGAAGTACAATCAGAGACAGTTGTTCCCCAAGTGCTTGAAAAGGAACCCGAAACAGTTGAAGCAGCTGTAGAACCTACCGTTGAAGTCACAGAAGTAACGGTACTCCAGCCCCAACAGCAGCCAGCGGAAGTTGTAAGCGTGGAAGTCACTCTTCAAGAGCCAGCCCCAGTGCAGACAACCCTGGAAGACAGCCCGGAAAAGGAGACTGATGTACGTGTGGCCACCCAACTGTTTATCTCTGGGGAGGCAGCCGCTTCAACGAGCCCACAAAAGTCTACCTACCAGATTACAGCCCCATCTATCGAGGATAATGGCGATGGTGTGCTCAAGGTTGTGCTGGGCAAGGGGCCGCAAGCCAACGAAGAAGAAGAGGCTGCTGCTACGACCACCAAGGTGAGCATGACCATCATTGAGACGGCAGCTGCCGCTGCAGCAGCTCCTGCTGCCGACGCCAAGCGGCGTCGAAAGAAAAAGAAGAGAAGAGACACAAAGCAGGAGGAGGAGCAGCCAGAACAAAAATCAGAAACCGAACCTGAGGCAGTGTCTGTTTCCGAGAAGGCGGAGCCAGTGGACAAAGTGCGCCACGAATCCATTGTGGAGATCAGTGCCGAGAGCGATCTGTCCAGCATGGACATTGACACAGCCCATGACTCGGTGAAGATTGTGGAAGATGCAGTCGTCTCCTCGCCCTCAGAGTCCCCACGTGCGCCCATCGTAGAGCTGGTGATACCCACAGAAGTTGTGGAACTGTCAGTCGTTGAGGATGAGGAACAGCAGACGACACCACGTGCCACAACGCCCGTAGAAGCTACCGCAAAGATTGAGCAGGACATCAAGTCCGTGCAGACATCGCCGCAGCATCAACCGAAATTGGATGAGACGGCAGCGCAGACGAGTCTGGAGATCCAACCCGAGAACCAGGAGATGGAGTCGCAGACCCTGATCATTGAGATTGCCGAGACTGAGGCGCAGACAACGCCACGCGGCGATGAGCGGACCGTGGAGGTATCCACCACCGAAATGCAAACGGAAGTCAGTGGCCAGCCAGCGGAGACCGTTGAGATCTCCAGTCAAACCACTGTGACGACCACCATTGAAAAGGAGCTGCAGACAACGCCCAGGGAATCGCCGCGTCAGCGAGAGCCAGGCAGTGATGATGTGGTACCGTCACTTGTCCAAGACTTGGTCAAGGAGATGACCATCGATCTGCCAGTGCCCACCGCAGAGCAGTCAACGTTCACCGAGACCACAACGACCACGGAGACGCATGTGCAGACCACCACGCCCGAACCCACAGAAGTGTTGGCCGTCGCCGTGAAGCCAGACACTGCCCACGAGGCAACGTCAACAACGGAACTGGTGCAGTTTGCCGATGGTGAGGCACAGACGACAGCACCAAGCACACAGGTGCGATCAGCAGCAACCCCAGTCATTGGATGAGTCCAACTCCATTTCCATTTCGGAACCATACGAACTGGAGGTGAAGACCACGGTGGCGATACCAGCTGACTCGGATGCCGGCTCTCTGGCCGAGCCAACGGTCTATGAGTACACACAGACCATGGAGCTGCCCAAGCCAGAGAAGCGCACCAAGAAGGATAAGAAAAAGAAGCAAAAGAAGGAGCAGGAGCAGCCGACAGCAGCAGCAAGAAGAACCTCAGATCAGTGTGACTGTGGAAATAGCACCCGAACTGCTGTCCGAGTCGGGTATTGTGGTATCCACCAATCAGCAGATGGAAGAGGTGCCGCATGTTGCACCAGAAGAGATCGCAGCACCAGTGGAAGTGGAGCCAGCGAAGCCACCGCAACGAGTTCAGCTGCAGATCACGACAACGCGGGTGTACGACGAGTATCCCGATCTGCCGGTGCACATTATCGAGCAGAACAAGATGAGCATTGCAGAGCAGAGCAGCCGAACGAGCCGGAGTGGAGCGGGACCCACGTCATCGGTGACCATCGAAGAGGTGTCCTCGCCCACAGAAGAACTGGTGGTGGTGCCCATCACCCCAGGGCCCGACAATCTCAGCGAGCAGCAGAGTAGCATTTGGTTCCAGCCAAAGACGTCGCCCTCCCAGGAACTCTCCCAGGCCCTGATCACGAGCGAGAGCCAGCAGCCGTATCCCGGACAACAGAAGAGGAAAGCCAACATCCTGGTGGAAACCATTGGAGATCGCATCAAGCACTTGAAACAGGCGACACCCCAACAACAGCGACAACAGCCGACAGCGACGCCAACGCCACTGAGCAATGTCCTGCACTTGGCTACGCTTTCGGAGCAGATCAAGGAGCTGCCCACGGAGCAGCGTCTGCAGGAGGTCAACGAGGGTCTGCAGAATCTAGATGCGGCTCTGCACAGCGGCGACAAGACGATCATACAGACGACAGTCATCACGGTAATCGAAAAGGTATCCACGTGGCTGGAGACGATCGAGTATCGCGTGTATCTCATTCGACAGAACTCGAACGAGGGACCCTCCGAGCAGAAGCTGGACAACTACAACCAGCTGAACGAGGAGCTGCACACGATCAAGCAGAATGTGAATCAGCTTGAGAGGCAGCTGTCAAAGACAGAGGAGCCCGAGCTGCATCAGTGTGTGGACACACTGAAGGAGCATGTCGAGGCCGTGGAGCAGGTGACGCAACAGAATCAGGCACAGGACAGCAACGATCTGGACAAGTGGCACAGCTTTGAGGTGCTGCTGAATGATGTGTCCACCGTTTTGGTGCAGCTGCAGCAGCGATACGAGCTGGTGACCAATCAGGATTATCCGCTGTCTGCCAAACTCTCGCACTTGGATGAGCTGGAGCAGGAGCATGAGCAGGCCCAGCAGCAGCTGGGGCATCTACTGCAGAATGCACGAGCCTTCCAGCGCGACTTCCCCGGCAAGAAGATGCCACAGGATGTGCACAACGCCTTCGAGACGAGCAAGAACATTGGCAACAACATCCAGGCCGAGCGAGAGCGTCTGCTCCAGCTGCAATCGCTGGCGGAGGAGTACGAACAGACCCTCAAGGAGTTCACCAACATCACGGTGCTCGCCGACAAGCTGGTCGAGTGTCCCATTGTGTCCAGTTCTCTGGAGCAGCTGAACAACGAAGTACAGAAGCAGCGCAAGTTCTTTGTGAACCTCAGCCACTGCCGCGCCATGCTGGAATCGTTGGAGGAGAACATTGACACGGAGACGCGTGAGAAGCACTCGGACCTGCACAAGGAGCTGTACAACCGAGCCACCCAGCTGCTGGACAAGGCCTCCGAACGCTCCTCGAAGCTGGTGCAGGCCGCCTCCCGCTGGACCGTCCTCGAGAAGGGAATGCGCGACGAGTTGCAATGGCTGCAGGTGGCCCAGCAGCGGGTGCCCGATCTGTCGACTGTGACATCGGCCGACTACGATCAGTACACGACGCTCTATCAGTCCCTGAGCAACGACATCTCCCATCATTATGTGAAGATGACGCAGCTCTCGGGCATAGCCAACAAACTGCAGCAGCTGGTGCAGGCGCCCAATCTGGTGGAGGAAACCAACGAGGCGCTGATTGTGCTGCTGAAGCTGCGCGAGGAGGTGGCCCTGTATCTGCACCGCCTGCTGGTCTTCAAGGAGATCTGGGTGCAGTACGAGCAGCAGACGGACAAGCTGGAGGCCTTTGTGCGCGAGGCAGAGCAGGAGCTGCGCCACATACAGATACCGGCACAGCCCACCCAGCAGCCCATCGAGCATATGCGTCAGTTCTGGGAGATCAAGGCACGCTTCGAGCTGCACAACAACGTGCGCAACGAGGCCGGGCACAGCTTTGAGAAGTCTCTGCAGGTTATTCCGCTCGCGGATGAGATGCTGCAGCGTCAGTTCCATGCCCAGCTGGAGGATCGCTGGCAGGCGGTGGCCCAGGCCATCGAACAGATCCAACACAATATTGTCGAGTGCCTGTCGTCGGAGGAAATGCCAGCGGCTGAGAAACTGAAGCTGGTGGAGCGTGAGCTGCAGGAGATCTATCTGACGATGACCAGCATGAAGGGCGTGATCAAGAACGAGGAGGAGCTCTGTCTCTACATCGAGCGCGTCCAGGTGCTGCGCACACGCGTCGGCTTCATTGGCAACGAACTGGGACGCATTGGACTGCAAGAGCCGGCGACGATCGAGCCCGAGAAGATCGGCGAGCTGTTTGCCTTGTCGCACAAGATAACCACACAGATAGCCGAGGAGCTGGAAGGTGCCTCCGTGCTGCGCGATCAGCTGCAGGCCATCCAGGAGGGGATCAGCAACCAGCGCAAGCATCAGGCCAAGATCTCTGTCATTCTGGATGAGTGCGAGGCGGCCGAGCGCCAGGGTGCCGATGTCCTCGAGAAGGCCGTCACCGACTGTCAGAATGTGGGCGAGGAGCTCGTCTCCAGCTGGCAGGAGATCATGCGCATCCGCCAGATGCTGCACACCCTGCCCATGCGCCTCAAGATGTCCGTGTCGCCGGTGAAGCTCGAGCGGGACATTTCCCAACTGCAAGACGATCACGCCTTCCTCGAGAGCAAGTGCACCAACATAATGGCCATACTCCGCAATCGCCTGGCCATGTGGCTCCGCTACGAACGTCAGCTGGAGCTCGTCCATGGCTCAGTGCAGGAGACGGACTTTATGATGGAACTGATTCGCGTGCACGGACAAGTGGACTACGAGCGACTGAGGAAAGCCACCGAAAGATTAGAGGTAAGTTCTGCCCCCCGTCTACCAGTCCCATTCCAGCCCCTTTTATGACTTTGTTTACTCGTGAGATACAATACAATAGAAGGCTATCTATCTGTCTATCTGGCTACCTGCTGTGCGGAATTTTCTCTACCGTTTTCCCTATGCTTATCAGCAGCATCAGCGTGAGGCTGCTTCTTGTTTTTCCCAATCGAAAATGTCTACAAAAGATGGTTACTTTTCGTGTTCTCAATCAGTTTATTTTGAGCATTCGCGCTGGATAATTATTTGTCTCTGAATTAGTTAAATTACACGAATATTTTCATTCACTTTTTAATGCCATCAAAGTTTATTGAAAGTTCAGTGATAAAAATTGTCTGAAAGGTTCGAAAAAATATCCATTATTGGAATGAAAAATGAAAAGTTAATGAATTAATAAAAAGTTTAGCTTTGAAGAATCTTTCCATCTAATTTGAGTGCTGTACAATGACCCTCTTCTTCAAGTGGTATAGCATAATTGTGTAATTAAGTTCGTAACTGACCCACAAAAAAAGTCTATTCATATTTAAAAGTTTTCGTTGTGCCTTCGAGAATATATTAAATATTAAATAGCATTCACATAAACCACAATCGAAGGATAATTAATTATTAAACGTAATTTCAACGTTTACTTTTCAAATAATTGTTTCTATGATATCAATCCCTATGAAGAAGTTTTCTTTGAATATTCGTGATGCTACGCTCTTTAAGCGGTTCCCTCTTATGCTATAGCATTCGTAGGATATATATGTATTCATTCGTTGCTGTATGCGTGACAAACTTGATTAGGAATTCGTGATACCTCCCATTCCTTACATTCTTCACGGTATCAAAGCTTATCGAAGCTTTAGCGTAAGCTTTTGCTTTGGGGCTTCTCTCTCTCTCTCTCTCTATCTGCTCTCTGCTCTTTCTGTGGCAAGTTTTTTGCCGCCGCAGTTGTCGTTAGCTTCGAACCGGGCGCGTATCGCATTCGTCTCGTCGGTGGTCTAGAAATCCCCATTTAAACATACATGTGAACTAATCCCTAATCCATCCATCTCTTGAATATCCGTCCAATCCGTTAGGGACTGGCCGGCGATCTACACAACCGCGAAGAGCTGATCGATGAGCTTAAGGGCGCCGCCAAGCCCCTGATCGAGAGCTGTGATGTGCAAATTGTCGAACAGATCGAATCGGCTGTGCAGGATGCGGTAGTTGCCTGGAATGACACCACCGAGAATCTGCAGCAGCTCTGCACACGCTACCAGCGAGCCGTTGAACTCTGGGATAAATATCGCAACGCCTCGGCGGCCGTTCAAAGTTCCATTGACCAGCAAATGGATACGGTCAAGTCCTTGGAGCAGCCCTTGGATGCCCTACAACATGCCAAGGTAAGTCTTTCGTACACCTCGTGTGTGTGTGTGTATTATTGTAAGTAGATGTAGATGACGTGACCCACCCAACCAATACCCGCCGTAGGAGTACATTGGTGCTGTTTGGTTGGGTTTCCCACCCAATATGTGTGTGGGTGGAGGGCGCTGGACTGTTTGATTTTTTTTTTAGGCGCCAAACGAGAACGAACCGGAAATGTGACGCTTTAATTGCTCTCCACAGACCTACTACAACTCGTACCTATAATTACATTGATTTTCCGTAGTACTATCCAGTTCCATATCTACCTTGCCCGTATTTTTTTAGGACGCGTCAATGTAATCGGTTGGTAATAGCCTCCAGAGCGAGGGGGCGGGCGGGCCGTAATATGTGTGTGCGGTTACGTTTGTATCATAAATTATGCTCGAACAAATAGACACACAAACTGTGCGATGACTGATTTCGTATACTTTTCGGTATTTACTTAAAAAATTAACGCATACTCTAGTCGCCGGTCGCCGGTCTCCGGTCGCTGTTCAATGTGTGTTTATTGATCATTAGGGTCGTCGTGTACCGCCTTGCTGTAATTATATTTTTGGACAGCGCCAACTGTCATTTCACATGGGAAATGGAAGGTTTTTTTTTTTTGGGAGAAGGAGAGTTTATCAACCCGGTCTCGAAGTATTCAGAATTTCGTATATTACTTGTGCACATACATACATATGTATGTATGTATGGAGTAGCTGCTTTATCAACAGAAGCCACCGCGAACAGGTCCGAAAACATGCCTTGAGCCTCCCACCTCCGGCGCGGGATGAAAAGATAAATTTAATTCCAAACTTCCAAACTGCTCGCACTATGCTGGCTGATTTTTCAATGCCAAATTCTGGGCTTGTTTTTGTTTGCCTATGCCCCATGTTCCGGCGATAAAGCATCGGGGCGCATATTCTACAGATGATATCATAGGGCACAAGCAGCACATGAAGGGCTCTGGCTCTGGCTCTGGCACTACACAGCAGTACACGCGTAATGCGCTTGCCTTTAAATTAGAAATACTCGTACGAACGGAACAGAACGAAGCATGACCTGTTTTTCTTCTTCTAAATTGAAAACGAAAGTGCGCCGCTCTCTCGCTCTCGGTGTGCGGGGCCCTAATTACACTTTGTCAAGCAGGACAGGGGGGGGGGGGGGTGGGAGAAATGGTGCTGGTGCGGTGCATGACAATTGATAAGGGCTGACCGGCCAGACCCGGCCGGCTTGAGCTAAATACTATTTGTTGAGCACATGTATATAGCATGAGTATATATGTATGTATGGTCTATACGTATTTGTTGATCTAAATATAGACGAGTGACATTTTCGCATGCAATCCAAAATATATATTTCAATTTGCTAGAGTGTGTGAGGTTTCCTCTTATACTCGTACCAAAAGAAGCTTAAACTATTGAAGAAACCGGATTCTCTTTTTGGGAAAAATGTATATAATTAAGTAGGTTTTTGGCAGTCATTAACTAACTTGATTTCCATCTTCATCTCCATCTTTTTCTCTATCTGTCTTCTCGCAGGCCTGTCAAGATAATCTGACCACACAGAATGATAGACTCTTGGAACTGCGTGATATTGTGGCCAAGATAGCCGCCGATGTGGGTCTGGATGCTTCAGCCCTGATGCAGGGCGAATTGGATGCTTTGGGTCAACGTTTGACCGAATGCAAAGATGCCATTACCACATTGGCCAATGTGGCCGAAACGCAGGACAAGGAGCGCAAAGAACTGGACAAGGAGGTGACACAGGCCAAGTTTTACTTCAACAATGTGCAGCAGGTGAGTGTTGCAGGGAAATGAAAAAAAAAACACCAAAAAACCAAAAGAACAAAGCAAAAAACATGTGCAAATGGGGGGAAATCCATCCATCCAGCCATCTATCTATCTATCGATTATAACTGGGAATACGAATGTGGATATTGGCATATGCTAGTTGCTTGGGCTGGTGGGGGCGTTTGGGGCGTGTGGAAATTCCCACACAAATAGAGCAACAAAACACACGCGGCTCTGGCTAGCCGGCCAGCAGGTAGCTAGCTTCCCGTGTCGTTTGTTGCTGTTGTTGTTGTTAATCCCATACGAAGGACATGCTATTTTAAGTGGGTTAAAAGTTGAAAAACTTTTCGTGTACAATACTAACACTCACAGTGCTACCGGCACCCGGCAACCACCCCACAGAGCCACAGAGCCGCCGAGTCACAGTGGCTCATTATTGATTGATGCCACGGCAGGGCGTGACCTGATGTTTGATATTTTGGGTGTGGCGATAGACTTATAAAATTGTAACTGACACTCTCTACTGCCAGCTGAATGAACTGAGTGAGGACTGAACTGAAGATGCTGAATATTTGATGAAACAGAAACGGTATTGCTTTATTAAATGGGTAGTTGGGGGCATAAAAAGACGTCGCATGATTGGTTTATAGATCACAAATAAAGTTTTAGCTTGGTTAAATGCAATGCCAATTATAGTAGGACGATTTGAATGATTTCTGGAAAGCCCCATATATATTATGAGGGCATTGTGGCTCTACAGCTATTGATTGTAACTTGGGATTTAACATTACAATTAAAAACAAAATAGTTATATTTACGAGATATAGATATAGATATATGTATGATTTGTTTTCTAGACTACAAATTCTATGACTCAAAATTTTTACATTTGATGAAAGGTAAATTATTTAAGGGACAACAGACAACGAATTTTGTTGCATAAAATTCTCAAAAATCGATATCGATTATGCTTATTGTTGCTAAAAATATTTCCAAATTATTAGGCGTAGTAGCAGGTATTTCCAAGCAACTGTGCACCAAGGTGCATCCATTTTTGTCCGTTACACCTGTGTGCCCCACAACCAGTTTAGAGCGTGCCGCCGCCTCCCACTGCACCTCGAGACAATTGAAGTTGGCCAGAGGCGGCAGAGCCAGAGGTACAGAGAGCGCGTGTCGTTGGCATGAGGTCATTGCCAGTCGGTGGCAGAAAGAGTTTGCCAACGTGCCTGTCAATGTTTCATTGTTTTGAGGCGAAGCCATGCAGCAGTGGAGCCAGAGCCAGAGCCAGAGCCAAAGCCAAAGCCAGCCAGCGGTAACTGGAGACAACGGAGTGCAGCCCATATTAGGGTCAGGCCATTTAGCGATGCACAAACAACTGACCAGCAATGAAATGTACAGTACTAATAAATGTATCTCTCTCTCTCTCTCTCTCTCTTTTTTCGCCCCATTGCAGGACATAACACGTGAGGCACCGCAAACGCCGAGGGAGAGCGAGGAGCAGTTGGCCGCCCTGCGTGCCCATCTGCAGACTCTGGCCCGTACGGAGGAGCAGCTGCGACAGCTGCGTGAACGCCAGCAGCAGAGCAATGAGGTGGCACCCACCAACGGCGCCGATGACGGTATTCTGGAGGTGCTGGCCCTGTGGCAGAAGATATTCCAGGACACGTTCCAGGAGTACCATCGCCTGTCGACGCGGCTGGCCCGCAGCCAGAACAGCTCAGAGGCACTGCGCCTGTGGCGTCAGTATCTGCAGCATGTCCAGTCCTTCCTCTCCTGTGCCATACCCGAGGACTACAGCAGTCTCCGGGAGCAGCAGCAGCTGTGCGCCATCCACCAGAACCTGCTGATCTCGCAGCAGAGCGTGCTCGCAGAGACGCCCCTCGAGTCGGAGCTCTCGGAGCAGTACAAGGCGCTGACCAATCTGCACAACGAAACGCTGTCGCGGATCATGCAACGCAACGGGGAACTGGAGCGTCGTGTGAGCGGCTGGAACGCCTACCGCCAGCAGCTGGCGGCCCTGCTCGACTGGCTGCGACAGCGCGAGGCGGAGCGCAACAATCTCCAACTGCGCTACATCCACCTGAAGCGGGTGCCGCACCTCAAGAGCCGCCTGGACGGTCTGCTCCAGCAGCTGGACCAGGGCGAGCAGCAGAGCAAGTCCCTGCAGGAGCAGCAGCAACAGTTGTCGCGCCACTGCGACGAGGCCCTGTCCACCGCCATGCGCATGGAGCAGGCGAGCATCGGGCAGCGCATCAACAATCTGCGCGCCGCCCTCGAGACTTGGCAGGGATTCCTGCACCGCATCAGCCAGCTCTCGGAGACCTACGAGCAGCGTGTGCTGCAGCTCCAAAAAGAGTTTGGAGCCGCTCAAAAACTGCTGGACAGCAGCAGCGAATCCCAGCCCAGCCAACCGGCGGCCATTGAGCAGCTGCTGCAAGCCCTGCGGGCACAACGCGTCCAGTTGGGCGCACAGGTGCCGGCCCTGGAGAGCCTCACGGTCACCCAGGAGGAGCTGAAGGAGTGCGTCAGTCCGCACGACATGAAGACCATCCGTCAGCGCAACTGGCTGCTGTGGCAGCAGCACGCGGACCACGACTACCAGCTGGCGAGCCTCATCAACAGCATCGACGAGCGGCTGTCCCTGCAAGCCAACTACCAGATCCGCTACGGACGCATCTCCCAGTGGCTGCAACGTCTCGAGCATCGTGTCGAACGCGATGCCGATGTCTCGGCCATGGCCAATCCGGAGCAGGCAGCCAAGCAGCTGGAGCAGCAAGTCAATGCGGAGCTGCAGTTGCGCGACAAGGAGCGCGAATGGCTGCTGTCCACCAGTCGGGAGCTGCTCTCGCTGTACGCCGAGGAGCCCGAGGTGCGGGCCCAGGTGCAGCAGCAGAGCGATGCCCTCATCGATCGCTGGCAGCGACTCAAGTACCTGTGCAAGCAGCGGGCCACGAAGATCGGCGAGCTGAAGATGACGCTGCTGCGGCTGGAGGAGCGGATAGCCCTCATCAGGGCCTGGCTCTTCGAGGTGGAGTCGCAGCTGGACAAGCCCCTCAGCTTCGAGAGCTACACCCCGAACGTGATCGAGGCCAAGCTGAAGGAGCACGAGCAGATCCAGCGATCCATCGAACACCACAGCAGCAATGTCGGCGAGGTCCTGAATCTCGTCGAGATGCTGCTGAACGATGCCGACAGCTGGCGGACTCAGGTGAACACCTCCGGCCTGGCCTCCTCCGCTCAGAATCTGGAGCAGCGCTGGAAGAACGTGTGCAGCCAGTCCGCGGAGCGTAAGCAGCGCATCCTCAGTATATGGAACCTCCTGCAGAGCCTGATCAAACAGACGGCCGAGCACAAGAACTGGCTGGGCAAGCAGGAAACGCAACTGGCGGGCTACGAGCGCGACCACAAGTCCAGCGGCAAACAGAAGCTGGAGGAGCGCCAGAAGGAGCTGCGCTCCAAGCTGGACGAACTGGACAGCCAGTCGGTGAATCTGCGGCATCTGGAACAGACCTACGCCAAGCTGACGATGGGCACTGGTGTGGAGCCCGAGAATATACAGAAACTCACGCTGCCCACCAAGGTGATGCTGAGCAAGTGGCGCCAACTGACGCCACGGTGTCATGCCCTGCTCGATGCCATCGACAAGGATGCCAAGGTGCTGCGAGAGTTCCATGCCGCCCAGCATGAGGCCACTCAATCCCTGACGGCCATACAGAAGGCCCTCGAGCAACTGCCCAGCCCGGCGGGCGAGGATCAGCAGAACGCCAGGGCAGAGCCCAAGGCGGTGCTGCAGCGTTTGGAGAGCCTGGAGCGTAAGCTGCAGGATGCCCAAAAGCATGTCCAGCAAGCGGATGCCTTGGCCCAGGAGGCCAAGACACGATCCAAGCAGCAGCCGCAGCAGCAGCTGAAGCAGATGCTCGAACTGATGACCGTCTACACAACACTCTGGCAAACAGTTCAGACACGAATCGTCACCCTGAAGACCAGTTGGCTGGCCAGAGCGGCTCAAGGTGCCGCCGTAGCAGTCAGCGAGGCGGCCAATGCTGCCGTTCAGGTGAACACGCTGTCACAGCGGAAGATGCGCCAGGCCCAGCAGATGCAGCGCGAGACCTCCATCACTGCCAAGGATGCGTACATCATGGAGCTGCAGACGGCCATTGCCGAGTGCCAGAACAATCTGGACGAGCTGCAGCGCACCATTGTGGACAAGACACGCAAGCCGGGCCCCCAGAAGATAGCCAAGCTGCTGGGCAATGCCCAGTCTTCGACGGAACTAGTCAAGCATCTCAGCAATCTGCTCCTAACCGAATGCCAGGCCGACAACCAGGCCGCCCAGTCCGAAACCGTCTCAGAGCTCACGTTGCGCTTTGACACACTGCAGTCGCAGTGGAAGGCGCGACAGCAGCACGATCAGAATGCAAGGTAAGCATTATCCATTCCCAGATTGTACCTTTATTGAAGACTTGCAAAAACCCTAGATCCCTTTTAGTTTTCGCTTGCGTTCTTTATGTGTTTTTTTTTATTTTGTGGTGGAATTTCATTCGCTAATGCTACCAGAGTAATCTGAATCTGAATCTGAAGCCTTCAAGATGAATGCAGCTGACTGGTGTGCTCATGTGTACTCTTGATCCGAATATACAAAATTAAAGTCAATAAATAAAATTTAATGTGGAGTGAAAGTGGCATATTATAGATCCATTCTTTATTCTGTGTCTCAACTGCTCCTAAATGAACTGATTTTTGAGAGACAAACGGCATCCTGTATAATGGATTATATTATAACAGATGACTTGTGTTTGTGTACAGTGATCTTAATGCATTTCCAGTACGGTTAAAGTAATGGTTAACATATCCAAAATTACATTGGTTATTGGTTTAATTGTCCCACATAACGCGGTACAGCGATGTTCTGCCCCGTGATGCACAAGCGAAAGAGAGCCAAAGAGAATGAAAAACATTTAGTGTTTCCTAATTTTATGGATGGGGTTTCTATTTTGATGATTTTATTAGTCCATTTAATCCTTAATTTAATTCTTCTTTGGTTTTGCAAGTTCTTTGACCTGTTCTTTCGGCCCAGCCGAATTCGCGATCTTTATGTTTTTATTGGTGTTTGGGCTGTTGTGTTTATTGACTAACAAAATGTTTTATTGCTTTCCATCTCTCGCTGTTGCCTACTTCTCTGTCACACCTACATACTCGTACGACACACACACGACACGACACGCATAAACACTCTTTTAAACATCTCACCTTAAAAATGCTTAACTTGAACGAACGTGCGCATTCATGATGCCATGATGCCATGATACCAGGTGCCTACTACCTGCGTCCTACAAATACAACTGCATACAGTAAGTGTTTGCTTAATACATACATATACATATGTACCTGCCTGACTGCCTGCCTGCCTGCCTGCCTGCTCCTCAATTGTAGTTCTATCTCCTGCTGTGCACCACTCCTGTGTGTTCTGTGTGTTTTGGTGGGGGAGAGTCCTCCACTAGACAAAAGCTGGCAGATGCTACCCAAATGACTGCCAGACTCCAGGGTGGAGCACAGCAAATGATATAGAGAACTATTATGATGCTCAAGCTGCCGCTGCTTAAAGGCAAATTAAAGCTATATTAAAGCTATTAACATGGCCCAGCTTATGCTAACAATAAAAAGATAACCATCGCTTTATTGTATATTTCACTAATTTGATTTTGTTTTTTGTCTTCCTTAGCGAGGTCGGCCGTCTAACGTGTCCGCTCTGCACGCAACGCAACTGGCAGCAGATCGACAACGATCTGTGGCGCCTGGAGCAGTGGCTGCAGTTCGCCGAGAGCACCCAAAAGGCTCAATCGGCGCCACCGTCCAACATTGAACTGCTGGAGGATGTGACACAGGATCATCGCGAGTTCTTGCTGGATCTGGAGAGTCACAAGTCGATCATTTCGTCGCTGAATGTGGTCGGTGATCATCTGGCCACCCATACCCTGGACACGGAGAAGGCCCGCCAGCTGCGCTCTCGCCTCGAGGCGGATAATGAGCGCTGGAATAATGTCTGCATCAATGCCACCAAATGGCAGGCTCTTCTCCAGACCGCCCTCATGGGCAACAGTGAGTTCCATCAGACCATCGATGAGCTGGTCGATTGGTTGCAGCGTACTGAGCAGAACATCAAGGCCTCCGAGCCCGTGGATCTCACCGAGGAGCGTTCGGTCCTTGAGACAAAATTCAAGAAATTCAAGGATCTGCGCGCCGAATTGGAACGTTGTGAGCCGCGTGTAGTGAGTCTACAGGATGCTGCCGATCAGCTACTGCGCTCTGTCGAAGGCTCCGAGGAACAGTCCCAACATACCTATGAAAGGTAAGGTCTCCCAGGTGCCAGTTTCGAGGGCGGAACGAAACGATTCGTAGGTGCCGCTTGAGCTTAGAAATGTCTAAGATTTTAGGAGTTAGGTTTAAATAAAAAAAGGGGATGGGCTGTATAGAACTTTTTTTAGTTGGGCGGAATTTATTTTTGTGAATTTTTTTTTTTTTTTTAATCTTTGTATAATTATTGCCAATTTCAATATGATAATCTTAATTTAAGTAGTTTATTTCTTATTGAATTCTATTAGATAGATCTTTCCTAACTTTCCCCATGTGCTTATTCCATTTCAATTTCAAAAGATATCGGCCTTTAATGCTTTTTTTTACATTACACCACGAAAACCTCTTTTGGAAACACACATTCCTGTACAAAAATTGATCAACATTATTCAAACAAAATTATACTAAAAACTATCTCAACTTTCGGCACATCTTTTCACTTTGAATGTCCCTCGACCAGAGGACACTTCTACCTATTAAAAATGATAATTGTTCATTTATTTAGTGTTTGTTTAGTTAAAAAAAAAAAAAAAACAAAATCAGTATCAAATCGTATCCTATGCCTATAAACAACATTTTGTGTTTGCTGTTTTTGTTGCGTATGTATATTTATTTTTTTTTTGTGTTATTTTTTGGTACTCAAAATTCTTTCGTCCGCCCATTCTAACCCTTCATCCAAACATATATCGCAAGGGCCGTTGGCAAATGTTTTAAATGTTCTAGAACCCTTTCCAGATTGACCGATCTCCGTCTGCGTCTGCAATCCCTGCGTCGTCTCTCCGGCATCTACATTGTGAAGCTGGGCGCAGTGCTCGGCTACGAGGGCGACAATCTTGGTGTGCCGCTGCACATGTTGTCGAGTGAGGTAAGTCCAAGTCCAAGTCCTAAAGTGGTTCCCGTTCAAGAACTTGAATTGTCCTTAAAAAAGAAAAAAATTTGTTTTATTTGTTGATTTGTAAGCGCACCAAACGTAAGTGAAACGAATTGGCTGTCCAAAATGAATTGACAAGTGTACCATATAATGGGAAGACCCATCAAAAATTGAAACAAAATTAAACCCATTTATGATTTATATTATTTTTAATTTATTTGATTTCCTTTCTTTTCCATTATGGCATAATCTAGCTTTTGGATAATACTACATTATCAACCTCTTCTATGCAGGCCGCCGCACCAAACACAGAAAATGCAAAGTAAATATTGATAGAAGTATAATTTTTCAGTTGAATGCATCGTAGATTGAATTAGATCGATTTGATTTTGAGCAACATGTGCACCTCTTACATTATCCCCACTGTATATGTATGGGCACATATGTGGTTCTGTTTAGTCCATTCTTGCATGATTTTGTCATTGTTAAATGTGTGATTTGTGTGATGATCCATAACTAATGTATATCTCGATTACCACCCTATTATAGCAACACCGATGGCGATGCTGTCGATGGCGATGTCATCAATACCACGGTTCTGGCGCGCGGTGCTCGCTTCCTAGGCCGCGTTGCCCGTGCCTCCCTGCCCATACAGGCGCTCATGCTGTTGCTTTTAGGTGTGGCAACTCTGGTGCCCCACGGTGAGGACTATACATGCATGTTCTCCAACACATTTGCACGGAGTCTGGAGCCGATGTTGTCGTATCCCCATGGACCGCCGCCAACGTAAACCCCCGAAAACTGTCAAACAAAAAGTAAAAATCCAAATCAAAAATCAAAACCAAAACCAAAGCTGTCGAGTTGAAATTGGATTAGTGCAAGAAACAAGAAAATATTCTTAAAATATATAACAGATTAACCCCTTAAATAACCAAAACCCATTCAGACTATAGCAGGACAAAAATGCCTTTTATAAGAAATTTCCTGTTTGAAAATATTTGGAATTATGTAAATTTCACCTTTTGACCGTTTAATATGTTTATGTAGCTAGAGGCATTCAATTAAAATTAAAATACAAATCTGTATCTGTATTGTACATAATGATTAAAACAGACCTAATCTCGTATAACCCCAAAAACAAAACCCTAGACTCGACGAGCATAAAGAAACACAACAAGTGAATGAACGAGAAACTATATTCAAACTAACGACAAAGTAACGAAACACTTTTGTAAAACGATATATACATTATACATACATATATATTTGCACAGCAAACAATTTATATATTCATATATATATGAACCCAGAACTATAGAGTACCCCCAACATTTTGTATATAAAATAACTAAGCTAAAACGAAATCAAAATACGCACACGAAAATTTTACTCATAAGCGCACGCTCCCCTTATCATCTAAAGAGCAATTCCAGCAGCAGCGGATTGTGAACACGGTCTTGCAAATCTCGTGGAACATTTTTGCATTACCACATGGCCACAAGCCGCTGCTGTTGCCATCAATCGGCTACGAAACTTAACAAAACAAAAAAAAACCCAAGACAAATCATGACCCACATAGACCAAATGCCTGGGAAAGCTATTCAAAAACCAATGCTTGGGGTCAGCTAAGCGTCTTTCTCCCAAATTACAAGGCGTCACGGCTGGCCCTATGCCATTGGCTTTTGAATAGACCCTGGGCCCTGACAGTCGTCGTTGCCCAAGGATAAACTCTACCAAACGGCCAAGCTCTCTCCCACGGCCCTGGTTAGAGAAAAATTGAACTGCTTGTGGTGCACCAGCCACAGGTGCACACGGCAGTTCCAAAATCCTCAAATACCAACACAGTAGCAGCGACTACTCGAAGACATTTACATGCATTCCTGATACTCATTTCCAAAATTACTACCATAGACATGACTAGCCCCTTTGATGTTGCCTCTTTGAGGGAGAGGAGCGTGCGCAACACGAGCATTGAACAAAAATGAAGCAAGTGTCCTATGCCGGTGCTAAACCAACAAACAAATTTTCTATATAAAGAAAATAATGTAAAATGCGTATACAAAAAATTATATTAAAAACTAAATAAAACAAAAACAAAAAAAATCGTAAAAATGCAATTTGCATATAGAAATGGCCTAAAGTCCATCCAGTAAAAAAGAAAACATTTTGTTGTTAATATTTTTTGATAAATACATACCTAATTCTATTTGCCGTATACTTATCAACTTGTTTATGAAGTATATTTTTTTTATTATTTAACAAGCAATTATTGAGAAAATACATACATTTATTTATTAGACATATGCGATTTATTATGTATTTAATTAAGTTGATTTAAATGTTAAATTTGTGTATTTCGCTGCTTCTATCTGGTTAACAATGAAACGTTATCAAATTTATATAATTTATGTAGCATTTTAAGATTTCCTTTCTTGTGAACAACTGTACCTTTATATGCATTATGATTATTAAAGAAAAATTACAAAAAATAAAAAAACTATGGATTGTTGAATTATCCTTCGGAGAGGAAGGGGACCAGTAAATATGATCGGAATCTGATCGATCAGAAAATTAACAAAAAATATTAGATACCAGAATAATTTTTTAAAATACATAAATATTTATTAATCAAATTCATATTAAATGGATTTTCTGCAAAGAAAATATAACCAGAAGCCAGAATCAGAATGGTTATTTCAATATTGAAATTCCTTATCTATCATACATACACGGACATATGTATATGCTCCCTTTTCGTCGGCATCACACACAGATGGAATCCAATACGAGCGCAAGTTCAAGTTCATAAAGTTCGCAATTAAGATTACAATCGATTTTTAGAATATAATATTTATTTATAAAATCCATATTAAGATACTACATACATATTTTTTAAAGTTTGATTATAATGGCTTTGTATTGTTTGTTCGAATAGGGTTACACACTCTGGAAGGTGTTGCGATTTACCCATTATTTCAGTATTAGAACTCTTGAATCCATCGGGCTATTATAGAGGCTTCCTTATTGCGGGCATCGCGCACCGATGGAGGATCAGCAGGGTCGCTGTGCCGCAAGTCCAAGTGATGGGCGCCCTCCGGCAAAATAATAATATCAACCTTGTTATTCGGGGCTTGCAAAACACCGCCACCACTCCATGGGTCCAACAATCCATTGCTAAATATGATATTGGTGGCCGTGTCAATACTCCTGCCACCATAACGTAGGATTATGTCGTATGGCTTGGGTGTTAGACGGTAGTCCTTGTAACACTTGTCGGAAAATTCCTTAAAGTTCCAGCTCGAGGGACGGAACATAGTTTCGGTGCCGTTGGAGCAGAACGGCATGACCATCTGGTTGCAGGTCTGTACATTCCAGCCGGCGTCGTCAGCATTCGAGTTGACATTGATGTCCAGGCATTTGGCGGAGCCAGTGTAGTTTGTGTAGACAGCCAGGGCACTGGCCATAGCGTGCAGCAGATCCGCATCGTTCTGGTGCAGGTCCTTCAGATAAAAGCAGACCTGTCGCACTGGGTAGGCCGGCAGCGGTGCCAGGAAACTACTGTTGTACGGATAGTTGACCATAGCCAGATTCCCGTACACCTCCTCTATGTAGTCCAGGAATTTCTTCAGGTCCGCATCGTTCTTGATGGGATTGCACAGGTGAAAGGCATCTGAGATTTGTTTTTTTCCTGCCTCGGTGCCACCCAGCGTCTCAAAGGTCTTCCACGATCGGCCAATGTTGGCTGTACAATTGGAATTATAGGCATTCTGAAACACCGATGTGACGATTCTGTAGAATATATCACAGTCTGTTATGCCAGGAAACTGGAAAATAGGGGCCGACGCCGCTAATGCTCCGGCAACAAGGTGTGGATACTTCATGCGGAACCATGCAGCCAACATACCGCCGTAGGAGCCACCAAAGGCCACTACCGGCAGCGGGAGATCGTTGCGTAGGAAGGTGATCAACATTGCGTAATCCTCCAGCGTCTGCTCCACCGTAAAGTAGGCCAAGTGATCCGGCATGCTGGCGTTGAACGTTGAGGCGCCGAATGGCAGGGATTTTCCATAATAGCGATGCTCCGCAAAAATCACCAAGGCCCGCTGCTTCTCGGCGAGCTCCCACATGAAGCCCGTGTTTTGCGCAAACAGCTCGATGTCGCCCTCGTTGCCCGTGTAGAAGAAGATCGGGGTGTGCGCATTCTTCTTGTCCACAAAGGAATCGTTGTACAGGTACCGAATGTTGAAGGTGGCATTGCTCAGAAAGCTGAAATGGTCCAGCGGCACTTGAAACTCTTTTATTTCGTACTTAAACTTGACCTCAGGCACGCCAGCTTCCCCTTGGTGAACAGCAGTGCATAAAATTATACAAACTGCTGCCGCAGCAGCTCCAGTTGAACCGATCATCTCGGGAGTAACAGAATACAGTGAAGTGAAATGACGCACTGGCGGTTCAATAAAACAATTTATTTTGGTTCGTTATCTCTAAGCCGGGATTGTACATACATATACATACATTTTACATCAGTTTGACCGCGGATATACCGACTGACCCTCAAATATATACCTTTTTATTGTCTAAATATACCATAAATATACCGAAAACAACGAATTTAACCCATTTTACCCCGCTCTATTTAAACAGTTTGAGTTAAACCGCGGAAAATATTACTGTTTGTGAATTATATTATTCTTGTAGACGCATCCTTTCTCTTTACCTACAAATAGTTAAAACCAATTTTTTTTAAATATTTTCGTGTGTATTTAAAAATTCCACTGGTCGACAAGGGGTTAATCGATGTCTGTCCATGATCAGAAATCATATTACTAGATTTTGATGTTCGGCTTAATATTACTAGCAAGCTAAGACTATCAGCCCTGAACATATAATTTTATCCAATTGATGAATCAATTTTCCACAAGATTGGCTGGTTTTTAATACTCTCTTTTATTGGATTGTTTACAAAATAAGGTTCAAACAAAAAAGGTTAACTCATAAAACTTAAGTGTGTACGGAGTGTGACGTCACTTTTGCTGGTCAAACAGTTCGCTGCTATGAGTATGGGCATTTGTATACCCTTTATCCTTAAATCAATGTTTAATTTCTGTTTTCAAGCCGCTCGGTGGGGCAGAGAGCCGAAGCCGAAGGCCAGGGGGCCAGGAGCGTCTCTGTCGGCGTAAAGGAGTCGTGCTCGTTGGCAGCCCTTGATCCAAAAGCTCGTTCACCTGCTCAATTCTGTCCTCGAACTAGCCCCTGCACATTAATAAACATTTTTGCGGAAAGGGGGATTTCTGGGGAAACCTACATTCACCACTACAGCACCAGGAACTGCTCGTACTTGAACTGGCCCCTGCTTTTGCACGTTGGCGGTCAGCTCAAGGCCAGCGCTCCATCAGCTGCGGCAACTCGAGTAGCGTCCTGCAGGCGTCCTTGAGGCGGCGTTGCTCGTTAAGCTCGGCGGACTCCTTCAGGAACTGCTCGCACTTGCCACTGAACTCTAGAAGCTTTCAAAATAAAAGAAATGGGAAAGTGAGAACTACTTTGCGTACAGTGAATTTTATTCGTATTCACGGGTACAAAAATTGTGTGGCAGGCGGAGATGGCTACGACCACAGTAATTTCAATTCAATCATTACAAATATATTTAAAGAGTATTTAGAACTCAATGAACTGATCATCACGGTCTCTGTCTCAGCTGTTACCCAGTCACAGTGCTACGCAAGGTACTTGGCCTGCAATGCCCAATTTGTGTTCCTCCCCCCCCTTGAAATATATTGTATCCGAATGTAGTGAACGGTACGCGCCGTAAAGCGGATTTCATCCGGAGTGTCCTCGTAGCAGTTATATGTTCCCACAGAATCCCAGCGGATCTGGTCGCATGACACATCCACGGTAAAGCACGGTATATCCACGTCGTATGAACGAATTACTATTTTAATATAGTTGATTTTGTAAACTTGTCCCAGCTGGATGACTCGCTGCATTACGTTGTCTGTGATACGGCGCGCATGAAACTTTTCGGATGCCACATCTTCCCCCGGTAACATGACGGCTCGGTGGGGCAGATTGATTCCGGTATTGATTTGATCAATGGCGTCCAGTAATTGATCCGGTGTGAATATGCCAGAGGGATGCACCACGTGCCGCAGTTCATGTTTACTCATGAGCGGGAGACGTACGAGGGATAACAGCGTCTGGATGTCCTCACTCGGATTGTTGTCCCTCCATTTGCATACAGACCGAAAGATTTCCACTTCAGGAACACAGAAATTGTCTCGTCGCAAGACTTCCTCAAATGACTCCTTGGACAGCATTTTGATGGAGTCGTGCTTAAGTAGATTGACCGCATTGTTGTCCATAAACTTGAGGCATTCTTTGGTCAGCTGGTCCAGATCGTATCGGCGCGCTGCATTCAGGATCACGCACACGTTGCTGACGGCAGTACTCTTCTGGAGATGATTGGTAATAGCCCTTTCAACGTACTCCAAGCCGTAAAAATGCGCCAGATTGAGCACATCGATTATCTCATCCACATCCAGTATGGAAAGGGGTAACTTGCCCGAGTAAAGGTACTCGAGGATTATCTTGAAAGCCTCCAGCGGCACCTCCAGCCGAATTTCTCGCTCCTTCGACTCAGCCAGGTCCCCATATAGCATGGCGCGGAAATACTCACTGCGCGCCGCCAGAACAAGACGGTGGGCCGAAAGCCGCTGATCCTCCACCAAGAACACCACGTCCGAGTAGAGCTCGTTCATGCAGAGACGGCCCATGTCCGATGCTAAGCCGTGAATGTCGTCGGTATTGTTTTTCTGGGTGCTCATTTTCCGGATTTCTGAGTGGTGAATGGAGAATGTCTATATTTGTATTATTTACGCTCTAATAACTTACTTTATTTGGGACTTTTTAGTAATTTTTTTTTTTTTTGATTAAATCATCGCATGGATGACAGGGGTTTGATCGCAGCTATGTTGCCACATTTATCAGGTACTGGTGTGTGACTTATTGTCCGATTATTCAGGTTCGGACGCTTGATGGGCCCAAGGTGTGTCTCCAGAATATGTGTTTAGTGAGATCTTGAGATCGAAGAGTGTAAAACCTCCGAATGTATTGTTTAAAAAATTGTTTGTGAAAATTGTATCTTTTTTGTAATTTTTTTAATATATATATATATATTTTTTTTTTTTATAACAGGCCTCCCCTTTTGGCCTGCACAGACTTCCTGTCAGCGAGCTTGACAGGCGTTAAAAGTCATTTCCCTATACTTTATTAATCTAAAATGATTTATCACAAAATGCTTAAAAGTCCATATTAGCGCTTTTTATAAACTGTGCCAGTTCTCTGAGGTGGAGTGGCTCTTTTTTGATCAAGAGTTCATTTAGATCCTTATAATATTTAAAAATTCAATACTTACCCCTAAGGCGGACGAATCTTTGGCATTTAAAAAGCAGATGTTCAGCGGATTCTGTGACATTACATGACTCACAGATATCCGAATCAATCGCTTTAATTTTGTATAGAGAGGCTTTATCGTACGTGTGTCCTGTCATCAGTCTGTTTATTGTCTTTATGCTTTTTGCATTCCATTTTAAATTATAGTGCCATGGTTTTTTGGGTATGTTTGGAAAGATTTCAATTAAACTGGTGCACTTGTTACTACATTTTTGTTTATACTCCTCGTTCCACTTGTGTTCTAAGGAGTTTTTAATTTCTCTTAAGGCTTCTTTCACACTAAATTGAATGTAAATGGTATCCCCTTCTCGTATGGCGTCTTTTGCTGCCATATCAGCCTTTTCGTTTATCGTTACCCCTTTGTGCCCTGGAATCCATAGAATATCCAGTTTTTGCATGCCTGATGTGTCGATAGTATTGTGAATGTCTCTTACTATGTATGACTCTGTTTGTTTATTGTTTACTAGTTTTATCGCTCCTAGAACATCACAACAAATAACAGCTTTCTTGTATCCATTATTGGCACATATCTCACTCGCTTTTTTAATACCTATCAGTTCGGCCCCTACAGATGAAAGCCTATTTACTGTTCTATATTTATATATATTTCCACTGGGTAACTCTACAATTCCTATACCACACCTGTCCTGCGTGACCGATGCATCTGTGGACAGAATATTCCAGCCTTCTTTTGAATATTTTTCCAAGATTTCAGAGAATCTGGCTCTGATTTCCTCCCTCGAGTATTCTTCTTTGTTCTTTGTCATTTCTTTTTCTCTTACATTAATCTTTTTACAGTGTTTATAATTATCACAGCTTTGTGAATTGTCGAAGAAAGTTTTAAATTCTTCTAAGGTACAAGTGTAACTCGTCTTTGCTTTTGATAGTCTTATGCTATCGAACATTCTGGGATTCAGCTTCTTGACCTTGAAAAGTTCTTTGGCTGTAAGCCACTTAGCCCTGAAACTTGGAGGCATTATTCCCGCCAACACAAAGATTTCGTGCTTGCTTGTATCAGGAGGCACACCTACACATCTTCTCAGCACTCCTGCCTGTGCAATTTCCATGTCTTTATTGGACCCAACTCCCATGTCAGAGAAGCTGGTAATTGCATATTCTTGCTTGCTTCTTATAAACGATTTGAAGATATTAACGCTAGTCTTAGGTTTTAGTCCCGACTTAATAGTTGTCGCTAATTGTATAAGCCTACTGCTTTTCCTAGTTACTTCTTTTACCATTTTTATATGACTGGTATTGGACATGTTAGAACTTATAAGCCTGCCTAGAAATAAAAAGCTTTTTTTCACTGGTATTAGAACATTTTTAACTTCTATGTTCAGAGACCTTCCACCTTCCCTTCCCATGTTCATAATCACAGATTTGCTAGGATTGAAACTAAAACCCAGATCGCCACATAATAGGCTAAAATCGTTTAATTTGTTTTTCAGATTTGCAACTACAGCCGCATAGTTATACCCGTGTGACACCAATATAAAATCGTCGGCAAATTGCATGATTTGTGTGTTGCAGTCCCCTACCTGATGTAGTCTTTTGGTGTAGATATTAAAAAGTAGTGGTGAAAGACATAATCCCTGGGGTAATCCTCCTTGCACCACTTCTACTGCATCTCCCAGTCTTAGCAACCTAATGGATATGAAACTTATAATCCAGTCCACATACATTTTCGGAAAACTTTCATTTTCCATTAACATCTTTACAAAATTCCAGTTTACACAGTTGTAAGCGTTGTTTAGGTCAACAGCCGCTACTATCACATGCTCCTTGCTTTTTTTCCTTGCAGCTACCTCATTGATCACATCATTAATGCACATTGCGGCTGACTTATCCTTCTGATACGCATAAGACCTATAGGGTAGAATTTCGTTGTCCTGTATATATTTTTCAAGCTTGATTTTGATAATACTGTTAACTGTTTTGGCCAGGACCGATATTAAGGATATTGGTCGAAAATTTTTTATGTCTGATAGATCTTTGTTTTTTTTTGGGATTGGCGTGATTTTAATCGTGCGCCACTCAGCTGGTACTTCACAGTTAGCAATTTTGTTGTTGTAGAATTTGACTAATTCTGCCTTAGTGTCCCTGTTTAATGCGTTGAGCATCTCATAAGTGATCTTGTCAAAGCCTCCTGATGTTTTTTTGTTTCGACCTAGGACCATTTCTAGATCTTCAAGAGCAAATTTCGGATTCTCGTTTTCTTTTGATGCATGCAATGTGGCATCAATGCTTCTGGCTTCAGCAGGTACTTGTTCTTTTAGCCATTCTAAGTACGACCCAGCTTTTTCTAAATCAAATTGTTCTTGAGTTTCTATGTTGCAATTTTTAAGGTTAGCTAGAAACTTCCAGGCTTCCCTAGTATTTGCCTTCACATTGAGCTCTGTTAGTTTCCTGGCGTAGCTAGTTTTCTTTGCAATTTTGACTGCCTTCTTCCATTTGATTTTTAGATCTACTGCCTTGCAATAAGTCTGAAAAGCTGGCTCCGAGCATGCCTTTTTTTTGGCCTCAGAGAATTCGTTAAATAGTTTGGCTAACCTCTCATCCCACCATAACTTTGGCCATTTGTTGTCAACTTCAAAGGTAGCAGCATTGATTTCATGTTGCATACATTTGGCTAAGTCTCCTATGTTTTTTTTTATATCTATTTTTCCCAGTTTTTTAATTAGTTTGTTTTTAGCTAGAAACTTGCTTAGCTTTTTTCCTCTTCCAATCAGTTCAAAACTGATAGGGTGGTGGTGACTGCCTCCCAGAAACAGTTTCTCACAATTCCAATTCTGAACTTTAATACCCTTTACAAAGGTGAGATCCAAGACGGACCCTGCAATTGAATCTATATTTCTCCTAAATGTAGGACATCGATCATTTACCAGAGCATATCCTACATTGTTCATCGCTTGCTTTAAAAAAGCCCCTTTTCTACTATTTATTGTGTCACCAAAACCTATGTGTCTAGCGTTAAAATCCCCTGCCACAATTGCATTTTCAAAGGGGTCTAATTTTTCCAGAAGGTTATTTATAGCTTGCTTAAAGGTTTCAATCGATGTTGTTGGTTCAAAATATATGGAAGCGATAAAAAGATTTAGTTTATTATGGGTAGTACTTGCAATAACAATGTCCTGATCAGATTCATAGGTTATCTTTTTCATTTTAAGATCGTTTCTATAAGCGATCGCTACGCCTCCATAGCCATCATCTCTGTATTTTTCAATTAATTTGAAATTTGCTAATTTCCTGAAGCTGAGATCGTGAGAAAAAACTTCAGCCAGAATGGCAATACTGAAGTCTCCATTATTTAAAAAATATTCGAGATCATTTTTGTTTGCTTTTATCGATTGAATATTATGCTGTAAGCACTTCATATTCACGTCGAGACTTTAAACTTTTCTCATTTTCTTCTGTTGGTGTCCTATATTTCCTTTGTGGTATTTTCGTTGTATTTTCGTTGGTATTGGTGTAATTTTTGGACATATTTCTTATGCCACTTACTGAACTGAACTGCGACAACATACTTATAACCTGCTGGATAGTAAATTTGTTTTCTTCTGAATTCTGATAACCAGCGACCGGTATATGGTCACTAGTATCGTTTGTTTAAGCTTCTAGCTGAAAATGTGGTTTTTGTATGGGAATGGTTGGTCTTTGAATTACTCTGCTAGCATAACTATGCTTTTTGAGTATTTCATTGGCTTTGATGTTTTTATTTTGTATATTTTCCTCAGTTCTGTCTAATTTGGGAAAATTAACCTCATAATTTTCCATCTGTGAATAATTCTGATGGACTGAATACGTATTTAGCACTTCCTTTCTTGCTATTTTCTTTATTGTCATAATCTTATTAATGTCATTTTCTTTTTCCCATACTGGGCAAACAAGTCTGTCCCTGGCTGAATGATTCTTCCCATTGCATAAAATGCACTTAAGAACCGTGCATGTTCCGATGCAATCTCCCACTCCACATTTGTTGCACCTTCTCGCCGATTTGCATCTGGCTGAAGTGTGCCCAATTCTGCCACAGTTAAAGCACTGACGCAACTTTGGAATATATTGATATACCTTCATGCTGCATATCCCGAAAAGTGAGATCTTTTCTGGAATGTCGGCACCCTCAAACCCGATTTTTACCGTCTCGGTTGGTATGAACTTAAAATCTGAGTTGGTATCATCCATCAACATTTTTTCCCTCCTTGCAAATCTTTCTAGGGATTTTATCGCGATATTTGACATTATGTTCTCCCTGATTTCCTCATTCGAAAAACCTAGTGGAACACCTTTGATTATACCAAAGGATTCCACATAATTCCGTGGTATAAATGCCACTATATTCATCTTTTTCAAATCGCTATTTTTAACCAGAGTGTTTGCGTCAGTAAAATTTGAGAAATATATTTTGTATAAGGTCGGAGCCAGCGAAACAATTTCTTTTATACCTTTAATTTTCAGATGTCTGATTTTTTTAAAGAGAAATAAGCCATTTTTTGTATTTTTATTTTCGAACTTATCACAATTTTTTCTTGATATCAGCACTGCTGCATCACCCTTATGACTATCTCCATACAATACTATTTCTTTTTCAAAGCCATTTGTCGATACAAAAACTCCCGATTCATTTTTGGTTTTTTGTCCCGCAGCCATAATACTTATTTCAGTATTTTCGGTGTTTGTGATGTTTGAGTTAAAGGTCACACTCTCAAAACTGTCTGTGTCCGACCTCATGTCTTCTGCATTTGTATGTGTGTCACTTATGTCTTCTTCATATGTATTAGTGTACTCGTTTGTTCGCTTTTTTTTTAACCGAGGATGCGTCTTTCTTTAGACTGTCCAAAAAGTCTTCTTTCAAGGATGGGGCTTAAAACGTTTATTTTTCTATCATAGTCAGTTTTGGAATGTCTTTTATTGCTGTTAAGTGTCTGGTCCGGAGGTTTCATTTTTACTGACGCCGTGTTACCGGCGTCCGCCATTTTCGCTGGTTTAACCAGCTTGCCAAAAACTCACCCACCTCAGGGAAAGAATCAAAGTTTTCTTTTGATGAATTGATATATCTTTGATTTTGCCACAGGCAAAACACGCGTTTGTCTTGTCTCACGCTGCAAGGTGAAGTGGGCAGCGCTTGTATATATCGATCGACCTATCGATATATTGCGGCTTAAGGTGTTATGACATTAGAATTAGCTTAAATGTAGTGTTATGACATTAGACTTTGCCAATTATGCAGCGTAGAGGGATAGCATGAGGAGACACAATTCAAAAAATTTTCGTAGCCGTCTCTAGACACGTCTAAAGGCTTTCAGTTGAATAACTGAGGCACAACTTGATACAAAATAACCTTTTCCGGCACACTCAGCCACCAAGCCAGCAAAATTGTATCCGCAAAGTAAAACAATCGAACAATTCTGGACATTTTGGGAGAAAGATGTACCCGAGAACTACGAGGCGTTTTTTAAGGAAAGTTTTGTATCGCCATATCATTGTAAGAAAAACATTCAATCAATTCATTCATTCAATTCAATTCAATCAAAGATATCTTTTGTTTGCTCGGACTGGGTTCCTTCCAAGAAAGGCTATCTAGAAAATGCACAGTTGAAGTGTGTGAAACCTTACCTTCAATCAGAGCAGAACGGTTACAGTAGTGCATTGAATATTAGGTTGTCACACTAAGAATTTAAATGTGGGTCGTGACTCAAACAGGAGAAATGTTCTCGGAAAAGCTTTATTGATTTTACCAAAAGAGCAATGATATGATCGAATTGAATTGTGTATCTGGACAGTGTGAATCACAATCGTGCAAAGCTTATCAACTAGCTGGGTTGAGTCGATATATAGCCATGTCTGTCTATCCGTCCCAGTGAGCACATATGTCTTAGAGTCTATAAGGGTTAAAGCACCCAAATTTTGTATGACACTGTTACAAGTTAAACAATCTTACAATTATTACAGAGTTTATGCGCACAATCTTAATTTATTAAAATGAAAATAATTACTTAAATACCCACATTATTGCAGTCTATTCAATGTATCGATACCATCAATCGGTATTTAGCCACAGCCAACTTCACTAGTTCTGTTGACAAGTAAGTGTGACAAAAGACAACAAATTGTGCCTACAAACAAGAAATTTCTGAAGAAAACTAAACAAAGTAAGTTAATAAAGTATACGCAATAAAAATATAAATAAAATACTCTAACCTTCCACACACATAGAACTCCAAAAGCGAAAATGAACAGCCACGAATCTTTTTCCTCCATTGCCGCTAAGAGACGCCGAATTGCCGAGCCTGAACGTGTGCAGACATTTGGAGAGGGCGTTTTGCTTGACATGGACCTGCTGTGCATGAACGATCTCTACTCGGACGTGTCGTTCTTTGTGGAGGATCAGCGCATATCGGGGCATTGCGCGATTTTAGCCACGCGCTGTAAATACTTTCACACGATGCTTTTCGAAAGCATGTCCGAGTGGAAGGAACGCCAAATACGGCTTACCGTGCCGCTGGAGGCATTTAAGGTAATCCTCGGCTATCTATACTCGGGCACTCTGCCCATGTCCACAATGGACGTGGGTGCCATCTTCCAAGTGCTCGGTTTGGCCAATCTGTATGGCCTGCTGCAACTTCAGACGTTCCTAACCGAACATTTGCTGGAAACTCTGTCCGTTGGTAACGTGTGCACAATCCTGGATACAGCGCGCCAATTCAATATTGCAGACCTGATCACGAAATCACTCAATTTCATCGATGCCAATGGGGCCAAGGTTATAGAAGACGATTCCTTCCAAAAGCTGTCCAAGGAATCACTTGAAGAAGTCCTTTCTCGGGAGACTTTAATTGCCCATGAACTAAATGTCTTTTACGCGGTAAAAGAATGGAGTCGCCACAACCCGGACGTGGACATCAAGTCGGTGGCCTCGCTTTTACGTCTCCCTCTTATTAAAGTCGAGGACCTGCTGGGTACGGTTCGTCGCTCTGGACTTGTCGACGCAAACAACATATTCGACGTCATCGATAAAGCGATCAAGTCGGAGAATCTGCCCTATCGTGCCAGAGAGTCTCCAGGTGTAGATGTGGCATCAGTAAGCGAATGGGGGACTCGTTCGATGCTCAACAAGAATGAGATTTTAATCGAGCTGAGCTTCTGGTGCTTTATCAATAATATCGGTATCTGTATCTCAGGTATTAACAACTCAATACAAATGCTCGATTTCACCGTGGCAATCTCTTGCGACAAGACCCACTGGGTTGGCTTGGGAACTTTTAAATTTTCAGCTTTTCCGCCCTATCTGGATATCACCTTCATGCGCAGGCCTGTTCGTTTCATTCGTATCTTGCAACTTACACGCAAAAATTATTTTAAAGATATGGTCATCAGAGCAAGTCTAAGCCCAGATACTACCCAGGAGATGGCTTGGGAGACTGCTTGACAATAGCGACCACTGCTGAGTGACGGTCTGCAAATTTGTTCCTTTTCTTTATCATTTGAATGGATATTTTTAATTTTAATTGCTTTAATTAGTTTCTTCTATTGAATTTAATTCTTATAATTACAGATACAATAAATATAGGATTTGTTGTTATAAATAGCCGATTCGTGTATACTGAACAGGATATAGAGTGGATATATTGGGTATAAGTTTGTCGAAGTTTACTTTCTTATTGCTTTGTAGTGCTTTGCGTTTCATGTATGTTAATATATTAATCCCACAATCCCTTGAACGAAATACACTTCGGGGACAGAGCCATATACAGCTTCAGCTACAGTAGCTTTCGGGTTAAAGCTGCGGCTGCATACAGTGGTCTTTCCTTCGTGCCAGTAGTCTGCGGTGTCGCGTTAATTAAAGTGACTTGATCGTATAATCATGAGCCTGCCCAGGTACGTTCATTCGTCGAAAACAATACAACGATTCAAGCACGTGCCCAGCAAAGTGGCACAGGGCATAGCCGAGCATCAGGCTATGGACAAGAAGCGTCGCAGTTTGAGCAATAAGAATGAGTGCCACAACTCCATGCCACACAGTGGCGCAATAGAGAGCGGCGCCTGTGCTCCCGTGGGCCGCGATCAGAGCGAAGGTAAGCAATACAATACACATGTACTAGTTCTCCAGCATTCCCAGTGATCTTGGATAATTAAAAACAGCGGACATCCAAGCCGAGGGGGACCAGCAGCGTCGCCGTCCGATAGGTAACGTCTGTGGCCCCAGTTCCATGCTGGAGTACCTGACGCCCAGAGAGCGCGGTCGCGACTTCTGGGTGGGCGAGGTGCATAACCTCGACGAGTCACTGGCTGGCAGCAATGGGCGCAGCTACGACCGTTTGATCATCGAGAATGACCGCCTGCTCAAAGAGAATGAGCGCTTGAGGAATGAAAAGGTGCGCCTGGTGGCCGATAAACTGAGCGCGCAGGAATTCATCAATTATCTGCAGGCCAAGCTGGACGAGAATACAATAGAGACGATGCACATGAAGCGCAGTTTGATCACCATTCGCCAAAGAATGGACACCAAGAGGAAACACGAGCGCGACACTCCACAACCAGCAAGCGTCCCAAAGGCACAGTGGTGAGGATCTGCCACAATTTTCGTCTTGCTTTCGTTTTATTTATTGTAGCGAAATTTGATATGTTATGTTGGGTGTGTAATAAAATACGTACATGTACATATATTCACTGTATTATAAAAGAGCGCGACAGCTTGGCATAGCATAGCCTGTCACCTTGCCCTGAACGATTACCGATCCCAACTGCCAAAAACGTTCTTGACATACTGTTTTCGAATATCATTGAAATCAACGTCAGTTAGAATAAAATTTGGGATTTGAATTCACCGGATCTCGAAAAGCAAATACTCAATCAGATGCAAATGATGATGACCAAATGCGCCAGCCTTTTCGCAACGCCTCAGTATATATAACACTCCTTCTGGTCATCGAGGCGGTCATCGGATTGCTATTAATCTCCGTAACGGCCTATTATCACGCAATACTCACTGGCTATTTGTCTGAGATTGAGTGCCGCTTGGTCCACGGTTATCTGCTGAATATCTATATATTTGGGGCACAGCTGATTCTGACGTTCCTGTGCAGCCTGTCCATGTGGAGGCGCTTGTGGAAGCGTCGTTGCACGCCCAACATTCAATTGCTTCTGTCCATTTGGCTATTCTATTCCTGCATCATCGTTGCCTCCGGCTTGGGGACTGTTTGGAATGTGTACCGCAGCGCCAAAGTATTTGAAAATGGAGCCGAAACGTCTCTGATCCGAGGCATCGATATGTACTACTCGTGTCCGGAGTGGAAGCTACTGTGGGATGGTCTGCAACTGCATAAAGAGTGCTGTGGCGTCCACAGCTACAAGGATTGGATGGATGCCGACTGGATGCCCCAGCAGCAGGACAGCGATAACTGCTCGAAAGCAGGCGGTACCAACGGCATCCTGGCTCCCTACACATGCTGCAAGCGAGGCTGCGCGAGTAGCACGAACCAGGATATGCCCGGAGATCAACAGCAGGGCGTTAGCCATAACCAGCAACCGTTTCCCTCCTTCACGCTGGACTCCATCCACACCAACGGCTGCCTGCCCGTGTTCTGCAAAGCCCTGTGGCGGTTCCTGTACATTCTGCTGGGACTGGCGCTGCTGTCCCTCAAATTTCTGGTAAGTCATGATGGGCAGTAGTCTTGATTACCGTACTTACCTTTCCTTGCAGATCATGCTCTGCTTTGTGACCAAATTCATAATGCAACGTCAGAACGAGAACGATGGCTGCTGCGACAACGTGGGCCTCACAGATGATGACGGATTTCCGTTGGTCGTTGTGGTGGGTTTGCCATACTTTTCACCTGTTTGTGTTCTTTGATAGAAATATGTTGTTGTCCATAGAAATACCCCTCAAATGTGCGTTGCCTAGTGATTGGTGAGGAGGATCTGGCTTCCGACGTGGCGCCCGATGCCCACTATTGCCTTTGCGATGAATCAGCGGAGGATGATTGTGAACATTAAACATTAAGTTGCTGTTTAAGTTTTGTTCTTATATTTTATAGTTATGTTATAGACAATTGTAATTGAATTCATTTAATCTTTGTTTGTTTAATTTGGGCTCCATATAGGGTTACACTGGTCGTGCACAATGTGCACAAATGGACAATCAGTCCTGTCAAACAAAAGCAAATCAAATCCAACTCGAGATTGAATTTGTACAGAAAATGTACAGGAGCGTACTGCATAAAGATCTAATACGGTTTTATTTTACATTCTGTGGTTTTAAATGTGTCCCTTAAACATAGAGCAATTAAATTATATTCCTGCTTTTATAAATACAAATTAAATATGTATTTTATGCGGAATATTTGTATTTTCGATCATCTTTTTAATTTGAGACAATCTATAAGAAACAAATGTAAGCTAAGCAAATTATACATAGATATATACATATATCTGGATAATTTCCGAAACGGTTGTAGATTTCATTTAAATTAATCTAAATTTAACCATAACCAGTTTCAGTTTCAGTTTCATGAATCACTAGTATTTTCAGTTTTTATACTTTACCAACACTTCCATTTTACGGTCACACACTACGGTTTTAACTTTTTGACAACCGAAAATTTTGATTTCTAAATAATTGTGCCAATATGTGAGTGCAAGTGATAAAAACTTTGAAAACTTATTAGTAATTGTGAAATTTGTTCATTGCAGGCCCTTACCAAAATATAGTGGTAAACATATTGTTGGCGATGATAGGTACGTTTCCTTTTTGGCTTTTTGTGGATGTTTTCTTTCTTATATTTACATATTTTGTACAGCTCCGATGAGAGTTCATCAGTTTCTTCTCCCACTGGATCTTTGGAGGATAATGGAGCAGTCTCCGATGCGTCTAGTAACGACTCGTCCAGCGACGAGTCGTCTAGCGAAGGCTCGACAGACTCTGAGTAAGTGACGTGACGTGACGAGACGTCGTGCGTGTGTGCGTGTGTGTGTGTGTGTGTTTTGTAATAGTATTGATGCAAAACTTTTATATCTAGAAGTACCAGCTCGGAGGAGTCGCCTTCAGTTATTGAGTATGAAATGCCGTAAGTTATACCACTGAAATAGGAGAAACACTGCTTCATATTGACTCATAATTAGGAATGTGGAACCGCCAGAGGAAGATGCTCCCATTATGGTGCTGAACCCTTTTTTCCAGATGCAGGGTGCCGCGATGAATGGCGAAACGGCTGGCCCAATCTTGCCACAAAGCGGTCCATTTGTAGAAGGCGATCCACCCGGATGTTCAAACACGGACAACATCGAAGCTGTTCCAGACAGGCAGACAGACAACATCGAAGCTGACATGCAGATGCAGGCATACACCCAGACAGACAACATCGAAGTTGTTCCAAATACCCAGACAATCTCTACACAAGTATCGGAGACAGACTTTGAAAATGATTTGCCGCCCATTCGTCGTCGACGCGCCATCCCGGCCAGCTTCGAAGATCCGGAATCGATTGGAGCACGTGTGTCCAAGCGTGGCAGAGGCAGCACTGCCTCAGGCGAATTTATGGAGCGGGCCAAACCGCTTCAGGTTACAAACTACTTTCAGGGGGTGTCTGCCCGTTTGGTAAGGGAGCGCGTGGGGCTGTTGCCCTTTCGAGAATTCTGCCATATGGCTGATCGAGGCTTAGAGAAGGCCGTCGCTCGTTCCAAGCAAGGCCAAGCAGAAGGCCCCAAGTAGTGCTCACACATTGAGAAGACACACACTTTAAGAGTTGATGGGTACAATTTTAAAATTTTTTAATGTAACTTTAATGTAATAAACTAAATACTTTGACAAGCGTATGGATGTACATATATTTCATTAGGGTTAATTGCGATAGTCCTGCCGAGCGTCTGCCAGCTCTTGTTGCTGCAACGACCTATCCACCAGAGGAAGAACGTCACGCGATCGAACGGATTACAAAGATTTATATTTTTATGAGAATTGTCTCTGGTTAAACTATGCTGCCACAATGTTAGTATGGCATAAATTAAAGAAACGATAAAGTGGCATTGGCATCTCATTCGTGGCTTTCATATGAATCGATTTCGTTGCTGCTGTCGGTATTGCTGCGCGAGCCATCGGACACGGCGGCGCTGCTTGTGCTGACCATAAGGCCACTGGGCATTTCGCCAATGGATAGCACTGAGCTGCTCTCATCGGCGCTGGAGGTTATCGAGCTCAGCTCATTCCAACTGACGCCAGAGTCCATCGATGCCAGTGATGCGGGAGTGACATCTCCGTCGGCGGCTGCAGGCTGTTGCTCCTGCGCCTGATTGTTGTTGTTATTGTTGTCGGAACGGACACGCTTCTCCTCCGAACCGATGGGGTCTGCTCTGCGTTTGTTCACGGTCTGACGCTCGTTCATTGGGCTCCAGTCGAGGGCATGATGTACTATGGCACGGACCGACAGCTGAATGGGCCCATCAAAAGTACTATTGCAATCGGGCTGTGAGACATCCGCTTCCATATCAACAGCCATGGGCTCCGGCGAGGAACGAGGCGGCGTCAGCCCAGACGGCAGCATGGTCGATTGGTGCAGCTCACTGTTCTGCGAGGCTAAGAACTCCAGCTCGCTCTCCTGCAAGAAAAACACGTGTTAAACAAGAGCACATATTATTTAAGGTGTGCTCAACGTACGTAGCGGGCACGTTCGAATTGCAGGTATTCCTCGTTTTCCTCGAACTGCTGCCTGGCGGACATTTCCATGGCCTGCGCAAGCTGCTTAAGTTCATCATATTGCATTCCTTCCTCATAGACACCAGCGTCTGCGGGGAATAGTAATCTTTGAAGAGTGTTAATCAGATTATATGCACTGTACCTTTGAGCATGTTAACTAAGCTGTGGTAGGACTGGCTGCGCAATTCCATTTTTATATTATTATTTAGAACAATCACAAAATTTACAAAGCCGCAGCGTTTGACATAACGGCAGTTTGTGTTATCGAATGCTCCAGCTGTTTTTGAATGGCCTACGGTCACACTTAGGAGTAGTTAAATTTAAAAAACACAGCTACAAGTAGGCGGCAAATTTGAATAGATTTCGATACAGCGGAATTGTTGGAGAAAGATTAATTTTCGAACTTAAAGTTCTAAGTTAAAGCTTTGTTTGAACTTAAAAGCTTAGCGTTCTAAAGCTTTGCGACTTCCAACGGCTACTCAAAGCTGCTGCAGTGTACTCCTGAGATTCGATCTATTTAATTATTTTAAAAGCTTCTTTCATTTTCATGCTGAAATTTGAAGTCTGCAAAAGTACGGTTGAAATATCACAAGTAAATAGTAAATGCCTTGCCAACGTTTTGTGGGGTCAAAAGTTTACAGCTTCGCCTCACCGCAATGATGGAAATTGTTTTTTCTCTAATTTGAAAAAAATGCGTCTCTGTGCGTTTCGTTTGCATTGCAGTAGCCGCCACCTTGTCTCCCCTCCTGCACACCTGACCAAACCCACTGACCCATGGCGCCCGCCTTTGACCCTAACGACAATCACGTTGAAATTCAACAAAATGCCAAAATGCCACTTGAAGTCAGTTTGGCTTTTTCGCTCTCATTCAGTGTTTTTTCCCCCCCATCGTTTTCTGTTCGGCGACAATTTTGCTTTGTGTGTGGCAGTTTTTCTGCATGGATCGCCTCCTGTTTAGTTTTGGTACCCTGTTTTTTTTTGCAGTGGGTATATCGTATCTATGACTGGGGTAGACTTTTAATATGATTTTTCCATATTTATTTGTAATCTGCTATTCTTGCTGACCAAAAATCGGTGCGTGAAATATTTAATTACAATTAAATTGTTCCTATTTTATTTCCGTGAATGCTGGAGGTACAAATTCGATTCGCTAAATTTTCCAGGATATTTCAAGTCTCGACTTTCGTCTAACATTGCGTTATTTTTTTCACTTTTGCTTTTATTTTTCCCTGACACATTTTTCTGTATGGCCAAACTCCCGCGCGCTGCCCAACGCAATGAAAATAAAACAAGCGCACGAGAAAAAACCAAAAAAAAAGGGTGAAAAAAAGAGAACAAGAAAAGTTTCGATGTCGTCACCGCAGCCACGACGGCTGGCGTTGCTTCTTTTGCATAAAAGTCTCCATGCAGTCCCTCTGCCAGAGCGCTCCACTACAGCTCCAACCCCATCATCAGCCCCATATAGCCACAACCTCAGATTCAACCCCACGCCAAATAGAAGGAACCAAAAAAAAAAAAGGCTAACACCAAAGTCGTTTTGTCGTTTTGTGTTAACCCGCATTTTGCACAATTTTTGGGTAGCATTTAAAGACCGTTCAATTACCGCTGAACAGTTGGAACTTTGGTGGGGCTAGATTAAAGACAAGGGATCGTAGTTCTGAGGGAGATTACCCAGCAGTAGGTAGGTAAATCACCATAGGATATTTATCCTATTTATTCACATATGTATGTCATAACTACCTATGCGTATGTTTCGATAGATAAAGCGGCTGCGGCAGCTAAAGCGAATCACCTGCCATCTAAGTATCTAAGTGATTCTTTATCTTTTTTTAACTACCGAATCCTTATTCGCCAGCGTTTTTCCAGCCTTATATGGCTAGAGGCACCCTTTCTAGTGGTAGGTAAATTTTATTTAAGCCCAGTATGTGCTTTTATCAAAATTCATTCAATATTTGTTTAAATTTTCACGTTTTCACTGACCCTAAGGACAACTAAGGCGGGGCTAACACTGATTCGATTAGCAAATCTGTGCCGCTCTCGATTTGCTTTTAGTGGCCAAGTTGAATGTTTTCATTGGATGAGAAAAGGATTTTTGCCATTTACTTGTGTTCGCCAGCCTTCCGGCACATTAGGCAGCCATAATTTGGCTAATTTTGCATCTTTTTGCCATATAATTTACACCAAATAACACACGACTGCCACACACACACACACACACACCAGCATACATACACATGGACAACGAAACGCCCAATTGTAGTGGTTGCTTGAATGCTGTTAAAACATTCGCGCAGCACTCATACGCCGTGATATCCGACTTTCGACCAGGGGGCACGTTCCAGGAGCCCGTCGATAAGATGCCTAATCAATGATTCGGAAATACCTTGCACAACATTAATTTTACGCTACACTTCTTTCTCCAGCGGTCACATACCCTTTACGTGTTATCCCTTTGCTTGAAGCTGATGGAGGGTAAGGTGGATCATTAATTTGTATGGAAAAGGAATTTACAAGAATTTACATAAGAATAAATAAATTCTTCCACCGAGTTAAAAAGACTTTACGATTTCTAACCAACAAAAAAGGAAACTTTTTATATTAAATTAATTAATAACTGGAATATAATTAAATTTTAAAAACTTCAATCTTAAAGAACATTAGCTTCTGTGTGTAAGAAAAATAAAAGTTTTTTATATCTAAAATGTGTTCTCGTTCTCTACTCCATCAGAAAATACAAATGGAATTGTAGCTGGGATCTGAGGCAGGGTCTGAAAGAATAAGGTATTGTCAGAGAATCAGAAAACCGATACGGACATTACAACTCACAGCAGTATTAAAGTTCATTGCGGCATGCTTTGCAGCCAGGCTTGTTGCAAGCTACGCCATCTAGTCCGCAGGCCTCTTTTTTTCCACTGACATCTTCTTTTCCGGGGACATCTTTCTCTCCACTGGCATCGCCGTGTCCGCGAACATCTTCTGGCCCGCTGGCATCTTCTGGCCCGCTGGCATCTTCTGGTCCGCTGGAGTCTTCTGGCCCGATGACATCTCCTTGACCGCTCACATCCTTTGGTGCACTAATATCTTCTTGTCCGCTGAAATCTCCTTGCCCACCATCATCTTCTTCTCCGCTACCATCCCCTGTTCCGCCCACCATTCCCTTTACGCAGCCAGCTTCTCCGCATTTCTCACCATGTCCGCAACGTTTTTTTCCACAGTCATGTCCTTTTTTGCGATCATCTCCCTGTGCACTGCCTGGAGAGTCCGGATTGGGCATTCTTCCAAAGACCTCCACTCTGCGTAAGAAAATGAAATTTAGTTTGTATGTCGTGCCCACGCGCGAATTCTTAGCTACCGATAAATGCAAGTAAACTCGCCGCCATGATTTGAGTAAAAGTGGAAAACTAGTCTACGAAAATGGTCCTGATTATCTACACTGTAATGCTCAGTGCGTCTGTTGGCGTCATTAGTGTAGGTGAATTGGCCCAATAGGTCTCGCTTGGAGAAACCCGATTTTATGCCCTAACAGAATAATATGTGTGCACTTATTAAAAGAGTCTAAAACCCGATCGGGAGATTTCAACTCACGAAAACCTCAAAGTCTTTAGGTGCATTCGCACTCAAGCTGGGCGTCATATCCTTGGGCGCGTGGGTCAGGGTAATCGTCTCAACGATGATGGTCTGGGCCAGTTGAATGGTCACTGTAGAACGATTTCCACGGTATCCAAAACAGGCGCCGGGAGCTAGACTCGCCCGCAGCATGTTCACAGGCGGATTGACACTGAAGTCTAGGCCCAGAAGGCGCTTCATGACAGTGCCGCTGCCAATGGGGTGTGCCGTGACCACGACAACTCTGGCCCCCAGCTCATCCGAGGCGAAGTTTAAACGGTTATAGTTGGGCTGCTGACTTGAGTATTGTTCATTCGAATATTCGCCGGAATACGGATCAGGGTTGGAATTTGGATATTGATTCGGGCTTTGATCGAAGCTTGAGTATGGATTAGTCATTGCATTTGGATATGGAATTGAATTTGGACCTTGGTTTAAAGTCGGAGCTTGAATTCCATACTGATTATATTCATTTGGACCTTGGATTCCATTTTCATTTTTGATTCCCTTTGGATCTTGGATTCCATTTTCATTTTTGATTCCCTTTGGATCTTGGATTCCATTTTCATTTTTGATTGCATTCGGACCTTGGGTTACATATTCATTTTTGATTGCATCTGGATTTTGGACATAGTTTGGATTTTGGACATAGTTTGGATTTTGCATTGCACTTGGATTTTGGACTACATTTGGAATTGCTCCCAGATTTGCATTTGGGATTGCATTTTGCTGTTGCATTGCATTCTTCTTGTTGCAATCCAGCTTTAGCTGATTCACATCGGCTATGAGGCTGTCAACCTTACGTTTCACATCGGAATCAATTCTGGTTAGCTCAGCGCCGGGTGCTTTCTGATCGTACTGTGGACTGCCAGGTGCTCCAGGTGCCCCCTTGGAACTCTCAGTGCCAGCTGGGGCGCCCTGCATCTTAATCTGTAGAGAAATGGCTTAGCAAGAGATTCAATGGGGACGACATTTGTAGCTGGCATTACCGACAGCTCATTCACTGTGTCACGTAGCCCAGTGAATCCCGTATTCTTCACGGAGTTGTCCGACAGTAGATAGTAGAAAAATGCCGCGACTAGAAGAAAAGATATGAAATGGCCAAAGCAAACCACTTTGGCGGGGCGTCCTTGAGGGCTGTCCATTTTTTGTTTTGCTTTTTAAGGAATATCGCTTTAAAGTACAACGCAAAGTGTCGAAACTATTAAACGTCAAATGAACTGAGTCTGCAATACAGGACTGCTTTGATTATTGCATCAGCTTGTTTTTTATACCCGTAATTAAAAAAGTGTTGAGGGTGAGATTAGATTTGTGGTAAAAGTGGATGTGTGCAACGCAGAGAAGGAAACGTTTCCGACCCCATAAAGAATATATATATTTTTGATCAGCATCAATAGCCGAGTCGATATAGCCATGTCCGTCTGTTCGTCTGTCCGTCTGTCCGTCCGTCCGACATCAATCACCTTCACCGTGGAAGCTGGGGGCTTATCAGGGGTTTTATCTTCGCAAGTGATCCGTCGTGCAATTTCGCGCTGCTCCCTGCTCAACTGCAAAGCCTACTGGACGCATGAACTGACTACCAAAGTCTAATCACTAGACATTAGACTCTACTGTCATAGCACCATAAGCAGCTGGAAAACATCTGACTGGGAAACTGCTGAGAGATAAATTTCGCTATCAACCTGCTGGAAACAGCCAAAAACCTGAAATTAGTTTGGCTTGAATTGGTATTTTTTCAATGACCATTTAATTTTCATTCCTTCGACGACGATACTTGTCGCCATATTTTTTGCCCATCCAAACAGAGTCTGAATATTTGCATTTGCATTTTCACAACATACGCTGCACAAATAAAATATGCAAGCAACAAATTTGCAGCCAGACACAGTCAATAGAACAAATTTATTGGCAATTTTTGGGATTTGCCGACTTGCTTGTTGGCTGCCTTCTGCCTCCTGGCTTCCAGCTGGAGCTCCCGGCTTCCAGAGCCAGCTCCTGCCTCTGCGAGCCTTAGCAGGAGTTTGATTGTGTAAAATTGCAAATCAAACATGACTAAGGGACACATTCTTTCCCATGGAGAGAGAGAGAGAGAGAGAGAGAGAGAGAGAGGAAGAACGTGCGCGAAACTGTATACAAATGGTAAAGAAACGGCAATGGGAAATGGGAATGTGTGTTGCCTCCAGGTCGATATAGAAATGCATCTGGATGTTTTTCATTTTTTGTTATTGGAGATTTTGCACAGCTGTTGCTTGCAGCATTCAGATACGGCCGAGATAAAATGCGGGCCTGGCTGTTCCTCCTGACGGATGGCCCCAAGTGTGGAATTGTATGGCTCGGCTCTGGAAGCCCCCAAAGATTTTTGTTCCATTTGCTTGTGCATATTGACAATTTTTTTAGATAAGCTACATTTAAAATAATAAAAACATTGCTACTGATTTTGTTGTTGTGGGTAACCAACCAAATATGTACAGGGATTAATGACTTAGAAGAATTAGCATGGAGGCTGTATAGGGATTAATGATTTAAAAGAATTAACATGGAGGCTGTGTCTGGCAAACTATATCCATTGACTGAAATTTGTAGATATTTTCCTATAAATTTTCCCTACATAGCCTGAATGCTTAAATTGTGGTGCATTTTGCTGGAATTTGTTTATTGGACACCTGCTAAGCAGCTTATGAAATGTAATGCATTCGCATGCAAAAGCCATTAGCATACATTAGATGCATGCTGTCCGGTGTTGGCGCCTCTGGCCACTGTATAGTTATTCGCCCATTGCGCCGTCGCAGTCGCGTAGGTCAAGCGTCGGCTGAGCTTAAATTTGGACTGGTTCACGTACTGGCCATTATAGTCATTTGTCCTACTAATTTACCATACACTCGCACAGATACACACCCATACAGAAGCAGCTACTGCTATATCCTGGGGGGGGGCGCTCACAAGTGTGCTGGGGGTTAGCTTGACTTCTCACAAATTTCGCGCTGTGTCTGCGGAAATAAATGAGCGTGTTTTAGTTGCATTTCCTCTACATTTTTTGAAAGCAAAATAAAATAAAATACAAAAAATATATGCAAATAAACATAAATAACGTGAAAAGAAGGAAACCGCAAGCAGACATAACTAACAGTGAAAAGTGAGTGTAGAATAAAAATGAAATGAAATGCCAGGGCAAAGGGAAAGTGCAGGCGAGCCACAACTGATGTATAGCTGTGTGTGTTTTTATGCACACAATATGTGTGTGTGTGTGTGTATGCAGTTTATCCCACAACATACATACATACATATGTAGATGGGAATAAATATGTTTGTGCGCTCATTGTTGCAAATTTGGTTTCCTTTCCGCTTCTGGTGGGAGTTTAGTTTGATTAGCCGAGACTGAAGGAAGTGCATGCATATATTTTTGGTGGTACTTGTACAGTGCAGTGGAAAATTCTTTGACCGTACACCGATAGAAAAAAGCCCTGAAATTTTAATATTTTCACTTAGATTTTAATATTTATGCCATTGATTTTCATCCAAGAGTGGTTGTATTAAAATTGAATATTTTTCACTTAAATTTTGATATTAATATGAAAATATTTAAATTTAATATGTTTAATATTTAAATCTAATATGTTTCATATTTAATTTAAAAATATGTTATGCCTAAATTTAATATGTTTCATATTTATATTGAGTATATTTCATTTTTAAACTAATCGATTATTATTTTGCCTACGTGGACTACATTTCAAGTCCTCATGATGTGAAATTCACCAAGTTAAAGTTTGCAACTAGAAATAATCGCAACATGAGTAGAACTGCATTTTTTGTGATTATGACCCTGCGCAAAGATAATTTAAACTGTGTATTCAAGGCGGCGCGCGGACCGTTGGGATTCGGGGGCAAAAAAAAATATTATAAACATATTTAAAAAAAATACAAAAAATATTTTATTTCATTTAATATGGAATATTTAAAATAAAAAGTTTTCTATTTGATTTTAAAACAGAAATTTTGAAATCAAGTCATAATAATATTCAATTTAAATATGAAACATATTAAACTACAAATTTAATATATTATATTTATTTTAAAGTGTTTTGTATTAAGATTAAATATGCGCCATTTTAATACAATTATATTTGAATCAAAGTCAATTCTATTAAATTTTACTATGTTTGTATTTAAAAATCGCATTTTAAATTCAAATATGATTGTAGTTATTTTTACTATGCCTTTTTTCTATCAGTGTATAAGCCTCAATTTGTGATTAATTTAATTCTCAACAGTTGCTTTTGGGTAGGTTTAGAATAATTCCAATTTGCAACAAGTGTTGGGTTTTTTTTTAATGGATACAATTTCTACAAAATTTCCTGGAAAGATATATAATTGGCCATATATTTTTACTGGAATACCGATACTGCAGAGTTTCCACTGTACACATAACTACAGCCAATCACTTACATTTTAGCTGGAAAAATCTTCAAGCCATAGATCAATAAATCCTTATGGAAGTGATGGCACAGTCAGATCAAATGCAGCCATTTGTTTGCTTCAAGCGAAATTCGAATTTTATTTTATTTCAGTTGATTTTATTGCATTTGCATGTGCATAAAGTCGACAACGTTCCTGTCTTCATATCACCATCCATCGCATGCGTCTTCGCATCCTGCTATCCTTGGCATCCTGCTGCCTCTCTTTCTCTTTTTCGCTTCATCTTCATGCGTCTTCCTTGGTATCCTTCCTGCCTTCGTCCTCTCTGCGCATTCTCTCATCATATCCATGATTCTGCCAGTGTTTTCCTTCCTTCGCGTTTCATGTCAATGCTACTACTGCCAGTGTGGCCCTGCACATTTTCCCATGGCATGTGTTTTGCATTTTCTGCGGTTGCAATTGCTCCTGCCACGTATTTCTATTCTGCATGCATGCATGTATGTATGTATATCTGTGCCTGTGGTGTCTTTATGTCAATTCATGTGTGTCTCATATGCCTGTGTTAGTTTTTGCACACATTAACACTTTATTGTTGCTGTTTGCGCATGCACGCTAAAAACTTAACGAAGCAAAATATTTTTTGCTTGTTGCATTTTCATTTTTGCATTTTATGCCAATTTTTTGTGTCGCCCCTCCTCTTCTCTTGCTGTTTTCCCCATCTTTGTTTCTCTGTTTTCGCTTAATTTTCGACGTGTTACATTTTCTTTCTGTTGTTTTCTTTTGGTTTTTGGCATTGCATATGTAATTGTGAATTTGGTTGCAACAAAAGCAACAGCAATGCTTGTTTAACAGCTAATATTTGTGCGATGCCTGCGGGACAAACAGAACAGAAAGTTGGGGGCAGGATTAGGAGGATGGCTTCCCACGGCTCCAGCTGTGGCCACAGAGCAGTCATCCAGGCTTTTGCCTTCGACTTCAGATGCAGATCCAGCTGCACCATTTGGGAGTGGTGCGGGAAGATGGTTTGCGGAGTATGGTAATTTTTTTTTTGGTTTTTTTCCAAACCAAACAACGTCGACATTGACAACTTTGTTGTCTTGTTGCATGTAATTTCTTTCTGCTGTTGCTTGTCGCTTGTTTGGCTTGCGGTTCGTGTGTGGTGTTCCTGCAAAGGGCCCCATCATCCTCATCCCCATCCCCATCCCTGCCCGCCATTTTGTTTTCGTTTACGTGCCTGCCACTTTCAAGTCCCTGTCTTGCTGCTCTTTGATTGCTCTGTCGCTTTGCTTTTGCAGTCGCCGCCGTCGTTTCCGTCGTTTCCGTTGCCTGAGAAAAGTGTCAAGCTCAAATGCAAGTCAAGGAGCTGCCTCCTGCCAGGTGGGATCAGACTTCGATGTCCAGCTGCGGCTTGTCCTCTGTATTGTTGAAGCTTTGTGCTGTTCTTCCTTCCAGTTCCGGTCCGTGAGATTTTCAAAGAGAGAGAGTTAAAGTGCAGCTGAGATTTAGGTCGATGCATAGCGAAGCTAACTTTGGAGCTATATAAAATGTTATTAAATATATGCGGATTTATTGCTAAATTTTGTAACATGTTACTCATATTAGTATTAAAGATACATGAGTTGTATTACTGTTCAATCCGTTTGCTTTTAGTGCGAATTAGCATGTTCAAAAATACCCAACAACATAAAAGAATGGCTGGCCTCGGGGGCTGAAATGTAGGATACCCTTGCAGATCGAAGGACTTATGACACTCATGTGATGAGTACGAGTACATCATATAAATTATTCTAACAAATATATACCTACT